TTATATATCTACAGCACATTGTCCATCACTCCAAAGAACCCTTTCACAATGCAAAGAACCCTTTAATCATGTAAAGGGTTCTGTGAGTGTTCATTGTTCTATACAGAACCATTTTCTTTAGTACAGAACCCAAGAAGACCCATGTTTTTTAAGAGTGTAGGACCATGCTGTGATTAAGTTGAGGTAAAGGTTATCATATAAAGTGTTATATAATTGTTCCATTCAAAGCTAACAGTGTTATTTCCTTTTATTATCATCATTATTGTTATTTTCATTATAAACGTGGAGTTGAAGAGCTGGAGATTCTGTCACTCCGATCACGTCACTAACTCGGGGCCGGCGCTCGGTTCAGGCCTAAAAACGTCCTGACTCTGCAGAGGGAGATGAGAGATTTGAAGAGTGCACAGTGCAGCTGATGGCAGCAGTTTTAAGCCTTTATGCAGTTGGAAATGTGATGAAATTGTTCAGGGCTTTTCTCTCAATTAGTGCTCTAAGCTGTTAGCTGTCGCTGCACTTTCTCTGCTGCTGTGCTCTGTTCTTTTATTATTATTATTTTTATTTATTTATTTTTTTTAAGATCACCCACTGAGTCCTAACATTATTACACACCATATGGAGGCACTGTAGCCTAAGACTTTACCAGCTGGTCAGACTCTTTTCTGTCAGGTCAAGTTGGTCACTTTTGTTCACTGTCTGTCCTCATTCAGTGCCAGTTAAAGTTATAATGACCAGTAGCAAGAATGAGGTTGGATGATATTCAGAGGTTTTGTTTTGTTTTGTTTTTTTTTCCCCCCACTTACATCCACTTATGACATTTTTGGGGTATTATGTGCCAAACATTATTCATATTCACAGCATAATTTTCCATGATTAAACAGGCTGGGGGGCGGCACGGTGGCGCAGTGGGTAGCGCTGTTGCCTCCCAGCAAGAATGGCCTGGGTTCGATTCCTGGCCAGGTGACCGGGGTCGTTTCTGTGTGGAGTTTGCCTGTTCTCCTCGTGTCTGCGTGGGTTTCCTCCGGGTTCTCCGGTTTCCTCCCACAGTCCAAAAACATGCAGTCAGGCCAATTGGCATGCTAAATTGCCCCTAGGTGTGAGTGAGTGTGTGAATGTGTATGTCTGCCCTGTGATGGACTGGCGACCTGTCCAGGGTGTATCCTGCCTTCCGCCCAATGACAGCTGGGATAGGCTCCAGCACCCCACCGCGACCCAGAAGGATAAGCGGTTTAGATGATGTATGTAAACAGGCTGGTTTTGTTACTCCACAGTTCCAACAGCTAGCCACAGGTTTTACAGTGACCACAGTATAGAGTCACTTAGGTAACAGAACACACTTCTGCACATCTTAATAAACAATTACTGTTTATTTACTAAATTTAAAATGTTGGGGAAACAACAAAAACAAAAAATGGTGTCCTGTGCAAAAGTTATGGCACATTTTATACTGTATTCTTTTTCCCAATATGTTAAACTAAGCTAATAAATTGAGACTGTCCACTACAGTATGCTGAATGAAGCCACATAGCTGTTTTCTTTTGCTTATTATGGTTGAACCATAGTTGAGCTATAACTGCTGCCTCAAAAGAGTGATGTCACGTGATGGGATGCTCATTTTGTGGTGCCCTGAGTGATTTTTCACTGTTCTGTTGGAATGAGATGGGGGGCGACGTCCTCTCCACTTTTAAAAAATGATGCAAGAAAATTTTGGAGAAGTTGGGGGCGGTCATTGAAAAAAGTAGCTGAGTTGCAAAAGAGCTGTCAGATATCAATTTACAGCTGAGAATTACAGTTTAAAACTTAAAAACTAATAAACCAAAAATATTTTTTATTTGGTTTCATTTAGTTATAGTCATTAATGACAATAAAAAAGAAGTGCTAACCAGCCCTGGAATCATTTAACAGTTCATAACTGTACTATGATCATTTGTTGACATATGATAGTCGTTAGTAGTTCTTCCTTTTTCTTCTTAATTATCATATTTATATGAGATTTCAATATGATAAATATTATTGTAGGCATAATTCTTTTATGTGTAATTTTAGCCACCTGACATTGGTCTTCCTATACTGGTAAGCAGAGGCATAGCCAAGGGGTCAGGAGGTGGCCAGGGCTGCCCTGGAATAAAGCATGGTGATCCTTTTGTCCATCCCAATTTATGGAAAGTGAGACAATAAGAAATCATCAATAAAGCATCAGTTATGCTTTATGGTGAAAATCTGCCACCGGTATATATTAAGTAAATGCATATCACTGCTGTTAGAACAAAACCTCATTTCTCCAAAATAATAACTTTACAGGAGAAGGAAAAAAAAAAAATTTAATGGAAGTCAATGGAACCAGATGTTTTTCCAAGTAATTTTAGTTTCTTTTTGTCCGTTCATCATGAAACTTACACACAGTGTAAAGGGCAGCAGGCATTTTCAAATCATGTCAAAAACAGAAAAACGACAAAAATGGAGATACGAGGTTTTGTTCCAACAGCAGCGATATGTTGTAGGAAACCTTATACAGAGCTGTCAGGCTAGCTGTCTGACCATTATACACTTGTATAGTGAGGGCAGCCTTAATGTATAACTTCTATGGTCTGTCTATATGAATTGTTTTTACTTATAGTTAACGTTGCACTGAAAAAGAGATGCATTTATTTACTTGATTCAAACACATCACAGTTTTGTCTTTTGGTTTACTTTAGTCATTAAGTCCATTGTGGTAATATTTTATTCTTGTGGAAATAATGGACAGATTTAATTATGTAAAGAAAAAACAACACTTTTTGTCATTTTAAAACACTAACACTATTCTATTTTGTTGGTGTTTTTTTGTTGTTTGTTTGTTTGTTTGTTTTTTGGGTTTTTTTCCTAGCACTAGTAAAACTCTGGCTCTTACCTGTCCAACCCACTCTAAACTCTCTAGCTACACCCCTGCTTGTCAGACCAAAGTTGTACCTCCGGGAGGTCTAATGGGGGCCCTAGACACAAGTGTTGTAAACCAGTTCATGGTCAGCTGGTCAACTGATATTGCAATGATTATATCAGCATATCAGTCAAGCCTAGGAAGAAGTGCTATGACAAAAATGATATATACTGTATTTCAATATAGTAAAACAAAGCAAATGCTTAGCAAATCTAATAAAAAGTACAGGAGCAGGTGTAATTTGTAATTCATCACACGCCGACGTACATAACTGTGTGTCTGTGTGTAATCCGATCATTCTCGACTGATCTGATTACTGTCTCTGCCTCAGAATGGCTCTTAGCATCGCTCTCCTCTGATCTGTCTTAATGACTGCCATGCTCGTTCTCCCTGTCCTATGTCTAAAACTCATACTCTGCCTTTTATAAAGACAGAACATCAGCCAGGACCGGCTGAGGCAATCCAGATAGGCTACGCGCTCAGCCGAGAGGGAGCACTCAAATCAGTCAGCTAAGCGCTTTGAAGGCTGTTTCCATCTCAGTGGAGAAGTGTTTTCTGGTTTTGAACAAAACTCTCCAATTAGCTGATTGATATTTTTGGAATATTTTGACAATATATACTGAAAAAAGCTAATTTATTCATTCAATCTAATGAGAAACTCTAAAAAAAATTTTCTCAGAATTTTGGCGTAGTGTCTCAAAACAGTAATTTATTTTCTTAAAATTTTGAATTAGTGTCTCAAAGTGATCACTTTTTCACTGAGTGTCTCAAAATAATGACCTATTTGCTCAAATTTGACTTTGCATCCTAATATATTCTTAGAATTTTGACTTAGCTTTTCAAAATAATCACTTTCTCAGAAATTGTACTTATTTTCCGAAATGTTTGATTTAGTATCTTGAAATAATGACTTACTTTCTCAACATTCCCTTTTAGTATCTCAAAATAATGACTTGTTTCTCAAAACTTGGTCTTAGTATCTCAAAATAATGACTTACTTTCTCAAAATTCTCATCTCGTATCTCAAAATAATGACTTGTTTTCTCAAAATTAGTATCCCAAAATAAATTACATATTCTGAAATGTTTCACTTAGTATCTTGAAGTAACAACGTACTTTCTCAAAGTTCTTACCTAGTATAGCAAAATGACACATTTTCTGAAATTTTTGACTTGAAATAATGACTTACTTTTTTAAAATTCTCAACTAGTATCTTAAAATAGTGAATAAATTTCTCAAAATGTTGACTTTGCATCCTGAGATATTGAAATATTTTCTTATAACTTTGACTTAGCATCTCAGAATAATGACTTTCTCAAGACTCTTACGTCACATCTCAAAATAATGACTTATTTTCTGAAACTTAGCATTTTTAAATAATGACTGACTTTCTCAAAATTTTCAACTAGTATCTCAAAATAATGACTTTTTCAAAATTCTCATCTAGTATATCAAAATAGTCACTTATTTTCTCAAAATAATAATTATTATATAATAATTATAATGTAATTATTGTCATTATTTTGACATTGTATAAAAATATGTGAGTTGTTTCATCTCTACCCAGCAGGGACAGTAGCCATTTCATGGTAGATCAGTTCCCAAAGAATTATATAAGACTCTGTTTAGGCTGACCTCCTCTACACAACCCTGCCTGTCTGCAGTGCAGGACCCAGCAGGACGAAACTTACTTTGCATCAGATTTATTTTGGTGACCTTCCAGAAGCAACATCGCAACACATCAGAGAAAAAGTGCATTCATTAACATTGAACATTGGCGCAAGTCTAGGTGCCAACACTGGAATAATAATGCTAAGTCTTGATGACATTTTAACCACAGAGATCACACAGCGAACACGTTTGTGACCACATCTGTGTTTTCGAGGGAGGATGACACTTTAACTAGACAGTGTTTTTCTTTGGCTTGTGTGGATGATTTTCAGTGATAACTTGCACTCAACCATGGGAAACATGATGCTTGACCATTACAGGAACATATTGGATCAACAGAAGTTGCTGGGAGGATATTCAATAATATATATGTTCATGAATGTTTAATTAATTTAATGATCTTGTTTCCTGGCAGGATGGGACCAAGGACATAATGCAGATTGCAACCATGTATATGGTGTCATTGCGCTCCAGACATATGGACTATTCCCAATATCATAGCATACCCTGTGACAGCTGGACATAACTTGGTGTTCTGGACACTCTCTATGTATGTATGTGGTTTGGAATCCCAAAAAGAAGACCATTAAGGCTACCGTGGAGCTCATGGAACATCTGCAGTCTTAACAATAATCCACTTCTAAAATTCCACCTTTAAAGATGTAAAATTTGAATAAATTAACTGATCTTGATCTTATTCGACCAATAACACTACACCAAACGAGTCGACATAGAAATAAGATTAATGAGTCTTGACAATCTGCTGTGAGAGGAACCATGGTGTCCACAGCTTTCCGTTGGGTGGTGCTAGTAGCCTTCATCATGCTGACCATTGGTGGAAACATGCTGGTGATTCTGGCAGTGGGAACTAGTCGACGACTGCGCCGAATCAGCAATTGCTTTGTGGTGTCACTGGCCATAACGGACCTCCTACTGGGCCTACTGGTGCTGCCCCTCAGCGCCACTCTGGAGCTGCGCAGTGGACACTGGACACTAGGGGGCACCTTTTGCAACATCTATATCTCTGTGGATGTGATGCTCTGCACTGCCTCCATTTTCTCCTTACTGGCCATCAGCATAGACCGCTACCTGGCTATCTCAGGACCACTCAGCTACTCCAGAAGAGTGACTCCCCTGAGGGTAGCAGCCGCAATCAGCGCCATCTGGGCCTTCTCCATGACCGTGGCCTTTGCGCCCATCCACCTGGGCTGGAACACGGTGGATTTCAGCATACAGAATGTAGACTGGGAGATGGGGGACGAGGGTGAGGAGGGCAGGACCTGCCGCTACGAATGGAACAACAACTACGTTCTGCTGGACGCCTTTGGAACCTTCTTCCTTCCTCTTCTGGTCATGTGCGGGATGTATCATCGGATCTTCCTTGTGGCACGTGCACAGGTACCCAAAGATAGTTGATCTTGGGGTCACACATTAAGGTCAGTGAGCTCCAGTTTGGTAGGTACCAGTGTAATTTTGAATATTACAAACTACACAGATCACAGGCACCTTCACCCTTCTAATTCAGGTCTTTATTCAAGGTATGCTTAAGTGCTTACCTTCTCAAATATACCAAATAACCTGGCAACTAACTAAATGAGAGAACCTACTGAAAAAGAGAGAAAAAATAATGAAGTTATTTGAAAATTAAGATAACAGTATAACAGTTGTAGGGAACTGTTTATATAACAGTTATACAAGGTCTTACTAGGCCATTGTTGTACTATCCCATGTGGTTGCTAAGGTGTTGCTATGCCATTGATATACTATCCCAGGAGGTTGTTAAGGTGTTGCTGGGCCATTTCTATGCTATCCCAGGTGGTTGTTAAGATGTTGCTAGGCCATTGCTATACTATCCCAAGTGGTTGTTCACGTGTTGCTAGGCCATCGCTATGCTCTCCCAGGTGGTTGCTAAGGTCTTACTAGGTCATTGCTATACTATCCCAGGTGGTTGTTAAGGTGTTGCTAGGCTATTGCTAGGCTATCCCATGTGGTTACTAAGGTGTTGCTAAGCCATTGCTATGGTATCCCAGGTGGTTGCTAAGATGTTGCTAAGCCATTGCTCTGGTATCGCAGGTGGCTGCTAAGGTGTTGCTAGGCCATTGCTATACTTTCCCAAGTGGTTGTTCAGGTGTTGCTAGGCTATTACTAGGCTATCCCATGTGGTTGCTAAGGTGTTGCTAAGCCATTGCTATGGTATCCCAGGTGGTTAAATAGACTTGCTTATGTGATATGACACACCGTTATCTGTAAACATTGACAAAATGCAGCCTTGTTGATATAACCTCATGTTACCTGTCACCGATTTCAGCATCACAGCTCCAGTACAGAACTAAAGAATCCAACTTTGTATACCAAACAACAAACTGACTCTAATCAGTAATGAACTATTGCTTCAAAATAAACAATCTCAGTTGATTCTTTTCTCTGTCAGGCACGTTGTATTCGCGCTGCTACACCCTCCTTCATCCGCTCTGCCTCCTTGGTGGCCACGGCACGGGAGAACAAAGCAACGGTGACTCTGGCAGCCGTGCTGGGAGCCTTCATCATCTGCTGGCTTCCTTACTTCATCTACTTCATCTGCATGGGCCTGAGGCACGAGATGGACCCACCACGCCTCACACACTCCGTGGTGCTCTGGCTGGGCTACTTCAACTCCGCCCTGAACCCCATCCTCTACCCGGCCCTCAACAGGGACTTCCGCCAGGCCTACGGTCAGCTGCTCCGGTGCAGGACCGCACAGAAGTGGACCTCTACCCCCATAAGGGCCTCGCAGCAGGAGAGAAGTGTTTCTAATGGGCTTCAGAGTGAACATGACTGGAACAAGCGATGTGGGGAGACACATCTCAACCTGAGAGAGGCTAACAATGATGCCAGCCTGGAACACAGCAGTTAATACTTGTGAGTTGTGTAGAACTTTTGTACCTCTCATTATAAAGCCTCTCGTATAGATTCAAGCCTGTTGCTGACCTCTGAGATATGGCTAAAGGGAGCCACCCAGCAACACGTTTGAATGGGAAGAGGCAATATTTCACAGTTACATCATAAATATTCCAGTGTTTTTCAATCCAATCTCTGTCTGTTGCATCAGTCCAATATGGTTGATTAGCACAGACAGTAATTTCCCTGCACCTAAAAAGGGAAACGGATACTCACAGACTTAAAAGACACTCCAAATAGAAGGCAGTTGCTGAGTTCTGTGAATAAGCATTTGCAGTGCATCACTACCTAACATGTATTTGAAACCCCAACAGTGCAGGTATTAGAATAACAGGCTAAGAATATCTTACTGATGTTAATCTGTACTTTATTGGTCCTACAAGGGACATTTGTAATTTTGCTTGCTAACTATGTCCAGTCTGGGAGCAGCACAGCATCTCCAACAGAACACCACCACCTGGGACAGTGGTGGGGTTAAGTGCCTTGGGCACAACAAGAGATTCCCGTCAGTCCTAGGGTTTGAACCTGTGACCTTCCGGTTGCCGGATCACCTCTTCTAGTGGTGCATAATTACTAACTTAGTATTTAATTACATGTAGAGGTGCTTTCTGAATATGTTACATTAGGAAACATGTAAAATATGATATTTATCATTAATCAACAGAAAGAAGAGTGCGTTATTCAAAACAATACACTGTACATGAATGCTTACATAAAAGATCATGGAATGATATGTATATATATATATATATATATATATATATATATATACACACACACACACACACACACACACACACACTTTGCCCTCTCTCTGGTGATTGGTGCTCTTAAAGAATCACACAATAAGACAGGACTATGCTTAAGATTTCTTATAAGCAAAAGTTATTCTGGTCCCACTTCCAGTGTCTTTAATAACTGGGTAGTTACACATTTAAATATATGCTATAACAATGTAACTACTGGTGACGTATTCACTGATACAGACTGAAAACAGTTGTACAACACACTGTACATCAGTGTACACATAAAAACATAAAAGATGATGTAATCTATCTCTCTTTTTTATGCATATACTGATGTGTGGATATAATATATGTTTTTGTATGTGTGCATAAAATATTTAAACAGGCTTTAAGATGCTCAACATATATTTCTTCACTTTTCTATTTGTCCTCTGGTGATTGGTGCTCTTAAATAATCACAAAATAAGACGGGACTATGCTTAGAAACTTTTAGATTTCTCGTAAAGAAAAGTCACCCGGCTATCCCCTTTCTGCCTCTAATAACTGTGTAGTTACATGTTAAAATTTATGCTATAACACTGTAACTGCTGGTGATGTATTCACTGGTACACATTGAGTACAGTTGTACAGTTTGTGTAAGTAAGTAACTATAATCTGTATATTTTTTCTTATGTGTTATATTTTTATGTAATTACACATGCATAATAGTAGTAATAGGTATTTACATGTGTATGAACTGTTTTTCCAAAAAGACTTCTGACTGTGTTGTGTAATTACCTATATTATGAGATTATTTACTGCATCTGCATAGGAAATTGCAACTTTCCTAATATGTTCTGAGCTGTTGTAGTCTGCTTGTGTTGTGACGTGGTAACCAAAGTTCTGGCCTTAAACCATTCTGTAATGTGTTTTACACAGCAAAGCAGATTGTTTTGAAAGGTTTATCTTTATGTAGGTACTGTGAAATTACAGATAGGTACTGTGATTTGAAAAGGTTACCACAGACACAAATATTTCACATCAAAGTTACACTTTATAATAACTGGATAGCTCCTATTTAGTGGTTATGTAGGCACATTGATAATCCAGACATGCTTTTGGGGTAGTATAATAAACCCCATATACTTTAGTTAATAACATAAAAGTTACTTTTACACACTGTTGTGCAAATATCATCATATCAGAGAATGTTTTAAGGGCAGAACTTCAGTTACCATGTAACCACATAAGTGTAATATTACTGCTAGCCAAATGTTGGAAAGCTGGCATTTCCAGGAACTCTCATTATTAGTTACAGGTAATTGCACACCATCTGTTTATGCCAATGTATTGCATGTGTGAAATATGCTGTTATAACTATCAAGATGTAACTACACAAACTGTACCACTGTAATCCATCTGTATCACTAAACACATCACCAGTAGTTACATTGTTGTTGCATGTATTATTAATGTATAACTACATAATTATGAAAGACACTTAGTGGGACTGTCATTCCTCTTAAACCTAGCAATAGTGCAGAATATCTGCACTTCCTCTTTAGGATCAAACAGAACATTCTGAAATATAAATGAAGTTAAAGTGCGTCAGGAACAGCAGAGCGATTAAACTGGACTTCCAGTAAAGCGTTTGATATCTGACTCGGGTGATTCCGAGTTATAATTTAAAGGAGGTCAGCATTTCCACTCAGTGGTGATGAATAAGTGACCATCCTATTCTTTTAGCCCTCCTGCAGGCAGAGTGTAGAAGATTGAGAGGAGGGTTATATAAAGATAGATGGTCAGATCTGAAATTCTGTTTCTTTCTTTCTGAAGCTGAGAGGGTTCAAAGGACGTGCAGATTAGAAAACACAAGACTCACACATTTTTCTGTTGACAGAGCTGCTGATGTAAATGAGTTTAACAGTTGTTCATGCTTTTGTCAGTTAAGCCTACATTAAGTATGAAATAATATGGCACTAATTGCTCATTGAGTTAAATGCTGTTTTAATTGTCCATTCTTTGTGTAGACATCATGAAAATAATGATCTCAGGTCAAAGAAAAAGTCTGAGACTCTAGTTGATGTAAATGTGTTTATGCAGCTGTTCATGTTGTACATGAAAAGTGTATTAGAACTAAACATAGTGTCAAATTATGATCTTTGTATCATATACTGTTAATACAAATATAAGGAAAAGTCAACAGCGTTCTCTTTGCATTTGTGTTCCCTGACCTCTAGTGGAAATAAGAAGTATTGCATACCAAAAAGAGGAATGTTGCAGTATCTGATAATTAAAGTATTTCTATACGGACTATAATAACCTGTTCATTCTTTATTCAAGGATGCAGTGACGTACAGCAGGGTAACATTTGGTGTCAATGATGAATAATGCACAGTTGTTCAAATTACAGTTATGCAGCACAGAATTTGACACGACAAATAGACATATTTTACAAATAATGGATGAAATTTACAGCACTCTATACTTATTTTTCATTGAAAAAATGCTTAATTTGTAATTAAAACATTTAGATTAGAAATATATTTCAGCTATAATTCATTATATCAGATTTCCAGATGGTCTAAATTTGATGTCTACATAATTGTCAGTCTCTTTAAACTGTCTAGAAGACACCAAAATTGATGTCATGGCTTTTAGCAGCTTCTGATTGGTCAGCTGTCCTAATTAAGTGTTAATCAGGAGTGCACCTGGGTCCTAACTTTACAGACAGTGCCTTTTTGTCCTTGATACCATTGGAAATTCAAAGCAACTCAACCAAGACCTCTGGTTGCTCATTATAATTTCCAAACAACTGAACGTACCATAAGAAATGTACCAACAACTGTATGCAAATATAAATATCTTTGGACCACATATACACTGTATTTCTCAGCTAGAAGGCACAAATCCTTCCCAGGGCTGGATGAACTTTGGTCTGAAAGGCTCAGCCATACCCCGAGACATCAACAAAGGAACTGGTGAAGCAGTTGGTCTTAGGTAATAAAGTGATCTACGTGCACTTTAAAAGAGTCCTAGATTGCCATTGGCTGAAAGGCTTCCATGCTAGGACGAAGCCCCTACTTCAAAACCAACTTAAAAAGCCACACTGAGGTTTGCATGTGATCACCAGGATGTATTTTGGACGAGTACTCAAAAACTCTTTGGCCATAATGATCAGTGCTTTGTATGTAGGGAAAAAAGTGAGGCTGTTTTATGCAAAGAACACCATCCCAACTGTGAAGCATAGGGGTGGTAGCATCAGGTTGTGGGGGTGTTGTGCTGTAAGAGGGATTGGTGCACTTCAGAAAATAGATAGCATCTTGAGAAAGGAGGATTATCTAGAAATACTGAAGAAATATCTCAAGAAATCAGCGAGAAGGTTAATACTTGGTCTTCTAACTAAACAATGGGCCTCATTCACCAATATCTTTCTAAGTTTTTCGTAAATGTGTTCTTGAGAAAGGTCCTGAGAAAAAGTCTACAGCAGATTCATGACGTGCTCTTAAACAAAATGGCTTGAAGACAACAAAGTGAAAATATCAGAGTGGCCATCACAAAACCCTGACCTGAATCCCAAAGAAAAACTGTGGACTGAACTGAAAAAACGTGTCCAGGGAGGCCCACAAACCTGACTCACCAGTTCTGCCAGAAGAAATGGGCAAAAACTCAGACAAAGTATTGAGAAGATTGAGACAGAAGCTTGTGGAGAGCATTTGAATCAAGTTAAGCAATTAAATGGCAATGGCACCAGATACTGACAAAGTTGCGCTGGTCTGAGTGGATCAGACACAGCAGTGCTACTGGAGTTTTTAAACACCTCAGTGTCACTGCTGGACTGAGAATAGTCCACCAACCAAAAATATACAGCCGACAGCGTCCTGTGGGCAGCGTCCTGTGACCACTGATGAAGGACTAGAGGATGACCAACACAAACTGTGCAGCAGCAGATGAGCTATCGTCTCTGACTTTACATCTACAAGGTGGACTGACAAGGTAGGAGTGTCTAATAGAGTGGATAGTGAGTGGTTTAAAAACTAGTGTTTAAAAACTCCAGCAGCACTGCTGTGTCTGATCCACTCATACCAGCATAACACACACTAACACACCACCAGTGTGATTGAGAAGAGGGTTATATAATGATAGATGGTCAGATCTGAAAATCTGAAGCTGAGAGGGTTTAAAGAACATGCAGATGAGAAAACAGGAGGCTAGAACATTTTTTTTGTTGACAGAGCAGCTGATGTAAATGATGCTCACTGAGTTAAATGCTGTTTTTATTGTGCATTCTCTGTGCAGACATGCAAATAATGATGAAAGTTCTTGACACTCTAATTGGGGTAAATGAGTTTCTGCAGCTGTTCATGTTTTGTGTTCAGCAAATTAAGTGCATAAAAAGCACAAGACAACAGAACACAGTGTTATGGTCTTTCAGACACATCATATATTGCTGATACAAACAAAAGGAAAAGTCTTTTATTGTAAACCTCCTATTACAATATATGTTCTACCTTTAAAATAAAGTGATCTCAGTCTGTTTGAGTTTCCTGACCTCTTGTGGCAGTAGGAGGTACTGCATGGCAAGAAAGTAATTATGCTAATACCTGAGACTTACCCAAAGTAGCTAATATTATTCCAACACATTCTAACGAGTCTCTCTTCCCTCGGCTACTGTTGCTATGTCAAACTTTCAGCTCAGGCTATCTGATAGCATCTGTAGCACTTGCGCTAACAGACTAAAAGGTTCCTAAGCATAAAGGAAAATGAGGGAGCCACACTGTGGAGTCCCTGAGATGCAGGAATACAGCTGAAAACACTTTATTAAAACAGGATTCTGGAAATCATTTCTACAGTACAGTACAGAACCAGGGGAGTCTTCCCTTCACTCTTCATGGACGTTAAAGCTGTTGGTTCTAATGATTAATAATGAGGAAATATGAATGGTGGAAGACGACCCTTCAGATGAGCTGGCGCTAATGCTAACATTGAGTTATTCAGCTATTTAGCGAGTTAGATGCTCAAATTGTACACAGGGTCTTTCAGCAAAATTTTAAAGAAATTATTTGAATGGCATCCTTATGTATACAAGTGCATCAATATTTTACACTGTGAATGATTTTAATTGCAATCAAAATTTGACCCTGAACATTATCTTGGTACCCAAACAGTGTAGAGACTTAAAACATCAAATACGTATCTTTAATTTTATCATCACTGTTGAGGAACTATCATGAAAAAAATTTGTAAGTGCAATAGTATTTTAGAGACACTGAAACTTGAAAAGGGTCATTTTTTACTGGACCATGTGATAATAAAGAGGCTCATCATTACTGAGTTTACTGCCATAAAATGTTATTGATTTACAGAAAACAAAGTGACCCCGACAGGCAACATCTATTCTATATATATATAAATAATGTGAGTAAGCATTGACAGTTTACCTGTATTTTATATTATTTTGGAACACTTGTATATATGAATATTACTGAAGGTCAACAAGATCTTGCCTTGACGGTCCACTGGAGCTCTAAACAGACATATTTCAGTATGAAAAAAACATAGATCTATAATAACCTGTTTATTTTTTCAAGGATGCAGTGACACAAGGAGGAATAACTTGATGTCAATCATGAATATTGCGTAACTGCATTAATAACCATTGCAATCTGTAGCACACAATATAACACCATAAACATAGTAGGTCATAATTGATGAACATTATAAAGATAATTTATTAGTGAAATATTTTAAATGTATTTGTATCATTATTTATTAATATGTACTGATCTGAAGTGGCCCCACACCTAATACTTCTATGCATTACAGCAACAAGTTAAACCTAATCCATAAGAGTGAGTAACATAACAGAAAATTGAAATATGGATAATCATAATCAGTCCACAACTGCTGATTAAAAATATCCTACTGAAAGGTGATCAGGTATTCCGGATACGCCTGCACGTCATGGAAGATCACAAACATACTCGGGTTTTGTTGGTTATCAGTGACGCTGTCATACAAATCTGTGGCTATAAAGCTCTTGGGTGGAGGTGAAATTAGCCCAGCCCTCCCTCTGGTGTAGTCACCGACCAGCACTCTGGCCAGATACATGCGCTTACGACCAAATTGGTCAGGCCTGGAGTATCCCCTGGCTGAGTAACTTGGGTCAACAGCAAAATACACACCATTGCCATACATGGCACCTTCAGACAAAGAAAAAAAAAAGACACATGATATATTGCAGAAACAAATTTAAACTACTAACTATTAACAAATTGTGGATTTATTATCTACAAATGTGTGGTGATGATATTATTGCTGTGTTATACCATGCATCCCAGCATAGCTCCTATTGAAGCCCCGGTGGTTGATCTTGTCTATGTTATCAGGGCCGGTGCCGTGGAACAGCCTCTTCTCATTGTTCTTGTGCTTGTTCTTTTCTTCAAAGTGCTTCTTCTGAATCATGTAGCTCCTCCACAGAGTGCTGTTCTGGACTCTCTCAATCTAAGAACATCACACTAATAAATAAGTGGCCGGCAAAGCACTGTTTTGATCATCACTAGCCTTAACATTATGTTCAGTGGTTCTTGAAAGTTTGTGAAGTCCTTATAATAGATGAAGAGAGCCAAATTAAACAAATGAGACAAAAATATTAGACATGGTCATTTATTTATTAAAGGAAATTATCCAATATTACAAATCTGTGAGTGGCAAAAGTATGTGGACCTTTGCTTTCAGTATCTGGTGTGACCGGCTTGTGCAGCAATAACTGCACCTAAACAATTGATTAGTCCTGCACGTCGGCTTGGTGGAATTTTAGGCCTCCATACAAAAAAGCTTCAACTCAGTTATGTTGGTGGGTTTCCTCCCATGAACTGCTGCTTCAGGTCCTTCTACAACAATTCTGTAGGATTAAGTTCGGGACTTTGACTTGGCCAAAACATTAACTTTATTCTTCTTTAACCATTTCTTTGGTAGAATGACTTGTGTGCTTCGGGTGGTTGTGGGTGGTTATGCCTGCTGCATGACCCACGTTCCATGAGTTTCAGTTCACTGACAGACATCCTGACATTTTCCTTTTCCTGATGCAGCAAAACAGGCCCAAACCGTGATACTACCACCACCATGTTTCACAGATGGGATAAGGGTTTAATTCTGGAATGCAGTGTTTTCCCTTCTCTAAACATAACCCTTCTCGTTTAAACCAAAAACATCCATTTTGGTCTCATCCATTCACAAAAAGTTGTTTCAATAACCTTCTGGCTTTTACATGTGATATTTAGCAAACTGCAAATGGGCAGCAATGTCCTTTTTGGAGAGCAGTGGCTTCTCCTTGCAATCCTGCCGTGCACACCATTGTTGTTCAGTGTTCTCCTGATGGACTCATGAACATTACCATTAGCCACTGTGAGACAGACCTTTAGCTGCTTAGAAGTCACCCTCGGTTCCTTTGTGGCCTTGCAGACTTTTACATGTCTTGTTCTTGGTATGATCTTTGTTGGTCAACCATTCCTGGGGAGCAAAACGAGGGTCTTGAATTTCCTCCCTTTGTACACAGTCTGTCTGACTGTGGATTGGTGTAGTCCAGACTCTTTAGAGATGGTTTGTAACCTTTTCCAGCTTGAGGAGCATCAACAGCTCTTTTTCCGAAGATGAAGTTCTTCTAATGAAGTTTTAGGTCAAATTTATGCAGAAATATAGAAAATTCTAAAGATTCGCAAACTTTCAAACACCACTGTAGGCTACCATTTTACACCAGATGTGCAATAAAGCATGGAACAAGACATTTTTTCAATGAAAACAAGTACACACTGCATTACTCTGATCCATTGAATATCCAAATTGTGGCTAGCTTGCAAGATAGGTAGGTAATAGAGTTGACCCTGATATACTCCTAGGTACGAGTTTTAGTTGTTAAAGTAATTAGGCAATTAATATTGTAGCGTCTTTGTAGAAATTATGGCCTCCTGCCCAGTATGTGAAATACCCCCTGGTACTCGGGTGGCGGGAGTCTGGGTCCCATGTTGGCCGGCTGATAACTCACTCGCCATAGCGGTGCTGATGTTTCAATGGCAGCAAAATAATTGATCTTCCTCGTCTCCTCATCAGTCTTCTTTTGAGAAACGAGTAACAATTTACTTTATCCACCAAACTCTTGGGAAACTGGGCAAATATTTTGCACATTGTAAAGTTTTTCAGAGGTTTCTCAGAGGCACTCACACACACACACACACACACACACACAGGGGCAATTTAGCATGACTCATGGCCCTGCTGTTATCTGTAGCTTTCTTAGCCACAAAAGTAGCCAGCGACATCACTAGCTGGCCAAAAAAACAACACATCTACTGCGGTTGAGCTGCGAAACATTTGAATGTAGCTTACAAAAGTGTTGCATTTCATAGTAGTAACAACCTGTCAGTTTCATTTGTTCGTTTGTCAAGTACATTAAATAAAAGACTTTAAGCTGCTGTATGAGAGTTTTATATCATGGGTAAAATACATGCATAGAGAGATTTTTTTAAGTAATCTTACGTTAAGAATTTGATTGGCCAGCCCAGTTCTCCTGAACTCATTCTCCACATCCTTGTATTCCTGGCTGCCTCGTTGAACTTGGACCTGCTTAACAAACACACCTCCCTTCATGTTCTCCCAATGACTGGGCAGAGCCAATGAGGGCTGGTCTGGAAAAGAATCAAGACATACCATGTGTAGTATTTTGAAAAAGAACAATTTTTCTCTAAAAGCTAAAGAATACTTGTTAAAGAACACTTCATTAGAAAAACAAAAGAGGTTCTTCTAAGGCATCGTTCAAATACAGAGCCCCTGAAAAAAAACTAGTTTTTCAATAATGGTGGCAACCTAAGTGCATCATGCTGTCTGCCCTGTAGAAGGCACCAATAGAACATACAGACAGGATTCCACTCACTATTATCTCCCAGGTCCATGGTCCAATTTTCAGTTGTGTATCCTTGATTGGAACTATGCTAATGGAAGCTGACCACTGTATAGCTCCTTATCTTGAACATCATTATGTTGTATCGGAGCCTCATTTTAAACATGCTTTAAAACTCAACAGACTGTTTCGGACAAAGCGTTACAGCAGAGGTCACTAATAGGCAGACCGCGGTCCGAGTCCGGACCCAGACGCTGTCCTATACGGACCTGGACCTATAACCGATAAACTATGGAGAATTATTTAATGTCAACGGGGTGGTCCTATTTTAATCAGCATAGCTTTTCTAGTCATTTTAGCCAGTTTAGCAGCCCGGGAGACTCACAGACCAATTGCATTGGTTGTAAATATCACACGTGACGCTACTCAGGCAATCAGATCTGTGCATTACGATGAGCACCAAGACTCGAGTGAGTAACGCACAAACAGGGGAGGGACAAGGTGAGAAACAGCAGTCAGAGAAGAAAGTGAGCCACATTATCTTACATTGTGTGCTCTAAAAAGAGAAAACTGACAATAAATATTGTTGAAATATTAATGAATTGTACTGAATTGAACTGATTTGACATTCAGTTGTTGACTTCATAAGATGTTGATATACCTACTAGGCTACTTCAGTAAACAGTATATGGCACTGAAACATGATGCAAGTTAGACATTAAAATGTTCGGACCTTTGCTTGAGAAAATTTTCTCTAACTGGACTTTATTGAATTTTAATTAAAGCTGTCTGGGTTACAGAATATATCCACTATATTGCTTTTTATTCAAAATCAGCTACAGCTTTTTATTTTACTGAACAAATAATTTTATTTTTTTTTAGTTTATTGAATAAAACTTAATCTTAAACTAAACTAAACTAAACCTTAAAATCTCATGCTTATCACATACTAAGGCTTATTATTCAGTAACTACAGTGACTTCAGTGTAAACTGGCTGAGCTATTCTTACCTTATAGAAGTGTATAATAACACTTTGAGACATTTAAGGGGTTTATGTCTATAGGTGGACGCATGCAAAGTGTTTAAAAAATTTCCAAAAGTGTCCAAAAGAACATTTCCAGAAAATTATCTCGAGATAATTATCCTGAGATAACAAATTTGAGAAAAAAAAATCTAAGGAGGTTTCTTTTTTACCTATTATAGAAAGCCCAAGTCTTTTTCACCCATGTCTTTTTGGGGGCTCTGTACATTGGCACGTTTATGTTTAAGAGTGTACACTGCAAGGGTGATAGAGATTTGCAATATAATAAAGCATACAAGCTGAAATGGAAGGTTATAGCTGAAGGTTTCATAAACCATTTGAAGCCTCTTACCTTTCCGGTCAACCCTCTTCAATTCAATCCTTCTGTTTCTTAAATAAGCCACTCTTTGGGTTAAATCAACCTCAACCTCCTCGTTGTTGACCTTGATCTTTATGCGAGGTTGTTTTTTCCCATAGGCCTCCTCCAGGTCATAGTTCATGTAAATATCGAAGGGTACGAGATTATTTGTCCTGTCCAGATACTGCCACTCTACCAAGCTGCTGATCATGAAGGCTTCACGTTTTCGGGCCTCGTTCTTCTCCACTTTGCGGATCATGTCCCGGATGGCGCTCTCTGCCTTGACTACATCTCGGGTCAGGCCCTCCACGGTGATGACCGGCTCTGGACCATTCTTATCAAGCTGAATGCTGACCGTGAGCTCGCTCTGCAGGTTAGTCAGCATCTCTGAATCCTCTCTACTGAAAAAGTTGATGGCGGAGTCCCGGATGGATGAACTCGTTTGCTCTTTGATGATGAAGCTGTGGATCAGTTCTCTGGCTTCATTCAGGTCCTGCTGGGTCTCTGCACACAGCTGAAAGACCGCCGGCTCAAACTCCTCACTCGCCATCACAAAGTCCTCGTCTTCAGAATGGAATGGTCGTCTGGCTTCTGGACTGTTGTCAAAATAGCTGGCCATAGAGTCAAATATTCCTTTTTTAAAATGAAATAAAAACAGAACAGAACAAATTACTTCCATAGATTTAGATTTATTTTTAAATTTTACATACTAAGTTCTTTTTAACCATTAGAAGTCCCAGTTATCACTAGCAATAACAAAAGCTTGTTGTATTTCAGTGATTTACAGCAACTGTAATAGATAATGGTATGAGAGAGACTCACTAGAAAATGATGAGAATTTGGCAACAGGTGATATTTTAGGGCACTGTTGCTTAATGGCATGTTCTTCTTTCGTGGTAGAACCTGGACTTTCCTCAAGAACGACCACAAATCTATGTTCCTTCATCATCATCAAGAACATGCTTCCCTGCTCCTGGAAGTACTTTTTAGCACCTGCTTTTTCAATCGTCAGCCTATCCGTGTGGAGAGCGTCTGCAATCTTCTGAAAGTTCTCCATGGCTGGTTGGACGTGAACACGCTCTCCAGACAGTCGGATCAAGGGTCGTTTAGGGTCAAATTGAACTCTTACCTCATTGGGCTTTACAAGTCTCTTCCAAACTGGGGACTTTTTCTCATTTATGAACTTCACCACAGCGCATGACTTGACGTGAAGGACTTCTTCGATTCTTGAGTGCGTGTTGATGAATTTCTCCAGGCTCCTGCTGACCTCCAAGACTGGTTGCTGAAAGCCAGTAACTACAACTGTGTCATTGTGTTTTGAGGGTTTTATAACCACAGTTTTCTTCCTGGCTAAGTTGTATGTGTCACACATTCGGTCATTGAGAGAGCGCCATTCTGGCTTTTCAAGCACACTTAAATCCTCTAAAGAGAGGATATTAGATGTAAGTGCCATTTGAAGTCTCTGCTCTGCCTCAGTCAGTGCTCTGTCTGTGCTTCCAGTCAACACAACATCCCCATTTTCAACTGTGTAGACTGCACTGATTCCCTTGGTTATAAACAGATCTCCTGACATCTCCTCACAGTCCACTGATCTCAGGAACTCCAACAACGAAGGGTCCATTTTCAGAGGCTTCTGTTTCAGTCTCAGTCTCCTCTCAAGGATCCAACGTTTGATGTCAATAATTTCCATAGAAAGGCCACACAATGTTAACTGATTGGTGTCTTTTTTGTATGTGAGCTTCAACTCTGGGTATTTAGCTGCAGCATTTTGTTGAAGTCCTTCCTGCAGAAGCAGAGAGACCATGGAAGGGGACATCTCAATACTCTCTGAGACACTATTCTGGTCCCTTTCCATCTGATCTGATGCTCTCTTTAAAACATTCTCCAAAATCGGCTTCAGCAGATTAATGTCTTGAGCCATTCCTGCCAGTGTCAGGACTCCATCATCCATCTTCATGAAGGCTTTGTCTTTCACTATTGATCGGATGTCTTTCTCTACTGCAAACCAGACAGAGGGGATCACTGCATACTCAAAAACAGCGTAGCTGGAGAGTATTTTCCTAAAGCCATCTGTGGCGTTTTTCTTCCAGGTGTCTATTATTTGCCTCTTGGTTATACCCTTCTGTTTTGAGAGCGTAAGAAGGGGACTAAGCTGTACTTCAGCTTTGTCCATGTTCACGTGGCAGAAAAGTGAGATCATCTCTTGACAGATGGAAGATATCAGCCCCTTCTTATTGAGGAATTCCCTGATAGCAGGATGGATCTTCTCTCTGAAAGGTTTGGGCAGCGTCCATGTTGGTCTGTCTTTCCCATATAAGGCGGTACCCAAAGATATGAAATATGGGTATATATTGATTGGAGTCCTGCCAATACGGTGATCTTTCTCCAGAATTCTCTTTATGCCTGGAAAAGGATGATGGCAGATATTTATACTATAATCTATACAAATGACACATAATCTTTGAACATTTTAACACAATATATATATGGAACTATATATAACTATAAGGTAAATAGAGAATCTATCTAAAATTTAAAGCACAAATGATTTACCTTCTTCATTTTGAAAGGTGACAATGGCAGCCTGTTCATCTGGAATCATAGTGATTGTCTCCACTGCCCCACCCCACTTTTCAAAGTAAAGTTCCAGCAGGTCTGTAGAAGTCTGACCAGGCAAATTTTCCATTTTCACACTTCTACTTTTTTCCAGAGGCCGTCCAATTAGACCATACTGCTGGAACTTTTTACTGCTCTTGCTCTCCATGAAGAACTTTTCAGCAACTGCAAAAAAGAAATAGTTGAATGATTTATGATTGGCTGAGCAGTTCGATAACAAAACATTGTTTCACACTGAGAGTGAAAGACACACCTTTGTGGTCATTAAAGGTCACAACAGCAACATTTAATTCTCTTATCAACTCCAGGAAAAACTCCTCTTCAGAAACACCACTGATGTTCTCCATTAAAAGCACAAGGACTTCTCTGGACAAGTCATCTGTCAGTTTCTCCAGGACCACAGCACTGGACCGTGGAGGGTCTTTTGGAGGTTCCCCAGTTGGGGGCTCACTCTGGCTCTCATCAGGACCAACTGCAGGTAAAATCAGAAGAAAATAAGATAACTTCACTATTTTATATGCAAATGTTTTATTTCTGCATGCCTTTCATTTATCTCTGCAGCTGAAAAGGAAGAAAAGAGAGAAATAACTCACAATATGGATGCACACTGACTGACACCTTGAGTATCTTGAGATCAGTCCTGTCCAAAACTCTCTTGACAGCTGAAATTGAGACAAAATTATGTAGTTTGTTTAACAGAAGAGAGAACAATTACTTGAACAACTGAGGTGAAGTTCTACAAGTAATAGAATATGATGACTTACCGGCTTGACTACGAAAATGTGACTATGGCAGAATGCTTCTCTGGAATCATGGTGACTTTCTCCACTGCTCCAGCCCACTTTTCAAAGTAAAGTTCTAGCAGGTCTGCAAAGACCTGACCAGGTATGTTTTCCACTTTAACGCTTCTGCTTTTCTCCAGAGCCCGACTCCGTAGACCATACTGCTGAAACTTTTTACTGCTCCTGCTCTCTGTGAGGAACTTCTCAGCAACCGCAAAAGGAAATTTCATTTAAGTCTGAGAACCTGAATAGTTCTACTCAATAAGATAATGTTTCACATGGCTGGTCAAAGACATACCATTGGGGTCATTAAAGGTCACAACAGCAACATTTGATCCTCTTATTAACTCCAGGAAAAACTCCTCATCAGAAACACCACTGATGTTCTCAATTAAAAGCACAAGGACTTCTCCGGACATGTCATCTGGCAGTTTCTCCAGAACCACAGCACCGGACCGTGGGGGGTTTCGCAAACTATCTTTGGGGAGTTTCTCAGTTGGAGGCTCACTCTGGCTCTCATCAGGGCCAACTGCAGGCATAACCAGCAGAAAACAAGATAACTTCACCATTTTATATGACACAGACTAAATGCTTTTAATTTATCTCTGCAGCTGAAAAAAGAGGAAAGAAAAACTCACAATTGGGATGGACACTGACTGATACCCCAAGTATCTTGAGATCAGTCCTGTCCAAAACTCTCTGTACAGCTGAAATTTTGATTAAAAAAAAATCATGTAATTTGTTCAGTAGAAGAGGGAAGACAACATTCTTGAATAACTAGTGTTCTCCAACAGGTAATACAATATGATGCAATAAAGCCTAAAATGCAGGAGGGAAAATTCAGCAATAAAACAACACATATCACTGTCCAAAATGTTCTTTAATATACGTTAATTTACATTTTTTTCAGTTAATTTTATACAACGTCTATAATCTCAAGGGTATCTTCGCCAAACTGGTCCTACCATCAGGTGACTGGAAGGTGATGATAGCAGCTTGCTCTGCTGGAATTGAGCTGATTGCCTCTATAGGTCCACCCCATTTCTCAAAGCACAGTTCCAGAATGTCCTCGTCAGTGACAGCATCAGCAGGAACATTGTTCACTCTCACACTTAAGGCCCTCTGACCAGGAACTGGAGGGGTCAATGAAATATTTATAATGCATGTTATAGAAAGTTGCCAGTTGTTTCCACCAGTAAGATTCTGTATACAACAGCAAGGGAGGAGTTATCAACGGTAGAACCCATTATCAATGGTCTGAACCCATTATTAGTGCAGTTTCCCACCTGACTGCTGGAAGTTAACTGCCACCTCACTTCTTGTTCCAGCCTGAAAAGAAAAACAAAATAAATGGTAACCTTGATCAACACTGACATAAATCAGAAAAAAACAACTTTGGAGACATAACAGATAATGGACATCCCTCCAAATCAAGTTGATTTATGTGAGTCCTAGTCACAAGTATCAAGTTTCTATCATTAAAATATCCAATGTTTTTATCTAAGTGGTAAAACAGGGGGGACAGTTCCAGTTTCATGTATTTTGACCAAGCTAACTGTTGTACTGTAGTAAACTATGGTGAAGGCTGACTGATAAAATTGGGTACTAAATAACTTAGTAAACAGTGTAAGAAAATCATACAGAAGCATACATTCATCGCTTATTATAAATAACTTGCTAAGTAAAAAATGGTCTCAAAAGTCACTAAGTCTAGCTGATCAGGCAGGGATGAGGCAAAGATACGTTTACCACAAAAGATTCAGTGGTTATATGAGTCCATAATTCATATTCATATCAAAAATTCTAGCAGTAAAAAAAGACCATGGCTATAGCCCGATAGCCAGACCCTAAACACACCCCTGGGCTGGCTTCGAGAGACAGAGACAGCTGCTATCAACATATGCAATATGTCATATATGGATGGCTGAAAAAGTGATGCATTAAATATTGCCCTCATAACCAACACTACCAATATACAAATAATGTGATAAAGCAGAAACATATTTAATGAAACATATAATGATCATCTAATAACAAGTGAAGCACCACACTAGCCTTATTAGCTATTGTTTACTGCTCCAGGTGAGGATAAATCACCAAGCATGAGTACACGATGGATAAATGCACCAGAATTTAAACGCTATTTCTAGAACCATCAGTTTGTAAAGTTTTAGAGATTAAAGTTTTGTAAAGATTTTTTCACCAAATGTAACATTAGCTGTCTTTAAAACTATAATGCTAGGGCCATTAGCATGTATGCTAGCAGCTAGAGAATGAGTTGTTTTAGCTTTTATTTGTATACACATGTGAAACTGTACATTTTAGAGTCTGACAGATATTAATAACAGTCTGTTATGATAATTCAGACAAAGCTAAAGCGCTAAATCTGTCCATCATATAGCAGCAGCACGATGTCAGAATAGTGAAATAAATCACCTAGCGAACCCGTGAAGAGCATAGACTGATCCACTACTCTCATTTGACAACTGTGTACCACAGTGTCTCAAATGCCACTGCTATCATAATAAGAGTCCCATATCATTGCATTGTTTAAACAAGCTAACCTGATTTACTTGCACAACTACTGAATGTAGTGAATTGTACCTATTATTGTTATTATTATTATTATTATTATTATAAACAATGATGTGATGCTGAAGTTAGCTAACATTACACTGGCGAATAAATGTAAAAAATAGTGATCAACAAATCAAAATATATCCTATTCTGTATCCTATTCTATCTACTCTACCAACACTGGTGAGAAAATGCAAAAGCAGCGGATGGTGGTCCAGTTTCCTCGTCTCATTTCTCATTTTCTACTGACTGATTTTGGTGAGGAATCTCAGCCCAAAGGCTGGTACAGAATGTTACCGAAGTTGAACGTGAGCAAATTAACCCACATATTTCTTTTCCCATATCCTTCTAAACCAGTCCGAGGTCTGAATGCACTAAAATTGTTCTAAGACAGAACTTCAAAACACTGACTGGCTAAAAACATGCCCACTTATTACCCCCCTTCCCCCTGCTGCTTCTTAATCAAGCACAAGACATAGACAGTTTTGTTCACTTACTGCTCCATCTGCATCTTCTTCATCACCAGGTTTGAACACTTTCAGTTTCACCACCTGGTCTCCAATAGTTACAGAGTGATCTCCTTTAGCGAGAACTTGATCTCGAGCTGGAACAAAAGCAGAAGGTCATCAATAGTTTATAATGCAAGGTTGCTGCATTTACCTTCTGGACAGCATGCGGATGTGGGTCATGTCTGGCAAACATGGCACTGCTGGCACACTGCCGGCACTGGCAAACTCCCAAACTTCCCTTGCTTTTACTTATGTACTTATTTTTAAATAAAATACTTTGATGAGATGTGTAAACATTGTTAAAGTCCATATATGTAAACCAAGCTGCAAAAACAGCCCATTTTGAATGCATTGTTTTTGTGATGTCACCACCTTTTTTACATGTATCCACCCATTCAGCCTAGAGCAGCCTGTTTCAGCCTGTTTAATTGTAAGGGATGAAGAGAGGCTGTGAATGATCATGTAAAAATGACTTATGACCATGTTTGGTGCATAAAACCACAAACTTAAGTGACCCCCGGAGGAAGAAAGTAAAACACAAGAAAAATGTAGGATACGGGCCCTTTATTTGGCTTATTTGGCCCACATGCCTTACTAAGCCGTGGCCACAACTTAATTATCTCGTTCCCACTCCCCAGCCCTAATAGTCCAGCTGTTCTGGACAGGACGTGTGTTAGAGGGACGTCTGGCTACACTGGCTTACATGATGGGACAGTGACGTTGAAATAAGCTACTTGAAAAACTACTTAACGAACGAAGCGAGTGAACGTACCTCGAGCTGATCTGAAGAGAACAGTAGCGGCGCTGCTCTCCTCGGGGAACCTCACCACACAGTCTCCGCCCTGAGACTTCTTCTTACTCTGAAAGTAAATCTGGAGTTTGGCTGTGAGGGTCTTGTTGGAGGTTGAGGGCCAGCGAGCCTCCACAGTGAGGGGGTGAGGAAAGTCCTCCATTGCGCTCCTCCTCGCTCGGCTCTGCGGGAGAGACTGTGGAGGAGCCGCTCAGCTCCAACATCTGTTTCACTTTCGTTTCTTTTCATTTCCTTTCAGAAGGAGCACCGGGGGCTAAACCACATACTGTAAACCACATACTGTAAACCACATACTGTAAACCACATACTGTAAACCACATACTGCTCGTTATAGTAAATGTATACACTACTGTTCAAAAGTTTGGAATCACTGTTCAATATTGAATATATATATATATATGTTTATGTATATGTGTGTGTGTGTGTGTGTGTGTGTGTGTGTGTGTGTGTGTACACACTCAAAAAAAAAAGTTTCTAGTTCTTCAAGCGTTCTTGAGTAAAGACAGTGGTTCTACATAATACCATGAACACTTTGCATGCTTAAACGATTCTTTGCCTGGTGAAAAGGTTCTATATTCACACACACCAAACAGTACAAGCAATACAAACTGCAATACGAACACATAACCAGCAGATGGAAGCAGAGCTGTTGGCCCAACACAAGAGTTCAAATTCCTCTTACTTGGAAAACTGATTCAGCTCATCAAGGCATGAAAAGCTGACATGCAGCATCTTAGCTTTCACTGTTAGAAAGACATGGTTTTAACCTGGTTTAGTGTTAGTGTAAATATCTGTCACCACGCGGTTATAACTCGTTATAGCTTTTGTGAAGGGACATATTCAAAGTATGAGCAGAAGATGAGCGAGTAGTCATTGGTTGCTTGGTTGAGTCAACAAGGTTAACTTCAGAGTGTTATTATCTATAATGCTAAATAAAAGACATTTCAGTTTGGATACCCCCAACCCAAAAACCCACCCCACAAAAACTAACCTATTATAAAATTTTTCATTTTAAAACTCTGTGGCAGTCACATGCAAACGTTTGCACATCCCTAAACACGACATGTTTTTGTTGACTTTAGGTGTAAATAAGTGAACACATCCTCCACAGAGAACATGTGCCTGTGCAAATGTTCTGGCACATTTTAGATTTGTTTCATTTTTTCAATATGTTAAGTAATAATAAACTGTGCCCAATTTTTTTTTATTATTATTATTTAAAAGTACTGCATTGACATTATATCAATACTATAAGTATTTATCATAGAAACGTATACATGGATAACATCTGGAAAATCTAGTGAGATACATAGACAGACAGACACATACATAGACAGACAGACAGATAGATAGATAGATAGATAGACAGGCAGACAGACAGATGGATAGACAGACAGATACATAGACAGACAGACAGATACATAGACAGACATACAGATACATAGATAGACAGATAGATAGATAGATAGATAGATAGATAGATAGATAGACAGATGGATAGATAGACAGACAGATACATAGATAGATAGACAGACAGACAGACAGACAGACAAATAGATGGATAGACAGACAGATACATACACAGACAGATAGACAGATAGATAGATAGACAGATAGACAGATAATAGACAGACAGACAGATAGAGAAATAGACAGATACATAGACAGATAGATACATAGACAAACACAGATAGACAGACAGACACACAGATAGATAGATAGATAGATAGATAGATAGATAGATAGATAGATAGATAGATAGATAGAGACAGACAGACAAGATCACTTTATTAATCCTAGAAGGAAAGTTGTCTATAGCAGCAGCACAAAGTACAATAAAGAACACAGTATCATAGAAAACATATATATGGATAACATCTGGAACATCTAGTGAGATACATAGACAGACAAACACATACATAGATAGATAGATAGATAGACAGACAGACAGACAGACAGACAGATAGAAAGATACATAGATAGATAGACAGACAGACAGACAGACAGACAGATGGATAGATAGAAAGATACATAGATAGATAGACAGACAGACAGATAGATGGATAGACAGACAGACAGACAGATACACAGACAGACAGACAGACAGATAGATAGATAGATAGATAGATAGATAGACAGACAGATAGACAGACAGACAGATAAATAGACAGATACATAGACAAACAGATAGATAGACAGACAGACAGAGAGATAGACAGACAGACAGATAGATAGACAGACAGATAGACAGCGCAGACAGATAGACAGCGCAGACAGATAGATAAATAGACAGACAGAAGATAGATAGATAGATAGACAGACAGATAGATAGACAGACAGACAGATAGATAGATAGACAGATACATAGATAAACAGATAGATAGACAGACAGATAGACAGACAGACAGATAGATAGACAGAGAGATAGACAGACAGACAGACAGATAGATAGACAGACAGATAGATAAATAGACAGACAGATAGTTAGATAGATAGACAGACAGACAGATAGACAGATACATAGATAAACAGATAGAGACAGACAGATAGACAGACAGATAGATAGACAGACAGACAGATAAATAAATAGACAGATACATAGACAAACAGATAGACAGACAGACAGACAGACAGACAGATAGATAGATAGATAGATAGATAGATAGATAGATAGAGAGACAGACAGATAGATAGACAGACAGATAGATAGATAGACAGACATAGATAGATAAATAAATAGACAGATACATAGACAAACAGATAGACAGATGGATAGATAGATAGATAGATAGATAGATAGACAGACAGACAGATAGAGAGACAGACAGATAGATAGACAGACAGATAGATAGACAGATACATACATAGACAGATAGACAGATACATAGACAAACAGATAGACAGACAGACAGACACACGGATAGATATGAAAGAAAATGCCACGCGAACAGGAATGAGGCAAAATACACTGAAAACATAAACACAAGTCTTGCATAAATGTTTATTGACATAATTCAGCAACTTAAGTTAGAGTTTCTCACCAAATACAGAATAAATAAACTTCCACACTGAAATGATTGTCTACTGTAAATCAACCTGTTCTTCTAAGCACACTAAATCTGTGTATTTACTGTAAAAGGCCATCAAACATTTCATTACAGGGTTTAAGATGGCCAATATAATTTGAACAGAGGAAGCTGCTGGGTTACTGTAAGATTTCTCATAAACAGTGGTCATTCCTCATAAGACTGGCAATAATTCTAAGCGCTACCACACAAAAAGGTGAATTATTAAAGTCAGCATGTTCTCAGGATCAAACAGAACGTTCTGAAATATAAATGAAGTTAAAGTGCGTCAGGAACAGCAGAGCGATTAAACTGGACTTCCAGTAAAGCGTTTGATATCTGACTCGGGTGATTCCGAGTTATAATTTAAAGGAGGTCAGCGTTTCCACTCTGTGGTGATGAATGACCATCCTATTCTTTTAGCCCTCCTGCAGGCAGAGTGTAGAAGATTGAGAGGGGGGTTATATAATGATAGATGGTCAGATCTGAAATTCTGAAGCTGAGAGGGTTCAAAGGACGTGCAGATGAGAAAACATGAGGCTAGAACATTTTTCTGTCGACAGAGCAGCTGATGTAAATGAGTTTAGCAGCTGGTCATGCTTTACAAAATGATGCTATTAGCTCAGTGTTTTAAATGATGCTGTTTTCATTGTGCATTCTCTGTGCAGACATCACAGAAACAAAGGAAATTACATCATGAACTGGTCAAAGAAAAAGTCCTTGCCAATGGGGGAGTAGTCCACTGACCAATAATATCCAGCCTGTGGGCAGCGTCCTGTGACCACTGAAGAAGGACTAGAGGATGACCAACACAAACTATGCAGCAGCAGATGAGCTGTCATCTCTGACTTTACATCTACAAGGTGGACCGACAAGGTAGGAGTGTCTAATAGAGTGGACAGTGAGTGGACACAGTGTTTAAAAACTCCAGCAGCACTGCTGTGTCTGATCCACTCGTACCAGCGCAACACACACTAACACACCACCACCACGTCAGTGTTACTGCAGTGCTGAGAATGATCCACTGCCAAAATAATACCTGCTCTGTGAGGGTCCATGGGGGTCCTGACCACTGAAGAACAGGGTAACAAAGTATGCAGAGAAACAGATGGACTACAGTCTGTTTTAATGGACTGGTCAGTTGGTGCATGTCAAGCAATTTTAAAATGTTAAAAGAATTTAAGCCCACTGTCTTAATGAGGATATCACTTTTTCACAAACTACTTCCTGTTCAATGCTGCTAATTTTGTGTCGTTAGCAGATACTACTAGCAATAAATAGCAAGAATAATGAAAAAATGTACTTAACACAGAGGCTGGGGGTCTCAGGAGGTCCACACCTGACAACCGTCTGTTTAATTATAGTTTTTGCACACATATATGATAATACAAACAAAAGAAAAGCGCTTTATTGTAAACTCTTATTATAAACGATTGCCCGTCTGTTCTGCCTTTGCAACTAAATGATCTCAGTGCATTTGTGTTTCCTGACCTCTTGTGGCAGTAGGAAGTACTGCATAGCAAGAAAGCTTCAGGGAATGTCACAATATCTGATGTTAAATCTTGTCAGTGTGGAAAAAATCTTGCAACTATAATAACCTTCATTTTTCATGCAGTTACATAAGTTGAAATAACTTTTGATGTCAATTCTGCACATTTGTTCTAGCAGTCATTGTGACCTTACAAGCAAAATAGGTCATATTTGATAGATTAGATATTAGATTGTTATACATTTCACCAACAATTGACCGTTTGCAAAATTCTGACCAGCCCCTCCTCCTTTGGTTACTGCTGCCATGTCAAACTTTGAGGTCAGGCTACCTGGTTGTATCTGTAGCACCCTTTGTATTTATAGAGAAAAAGCATTCTGGAAACCATGTTTACAATAATTACGTCTTTCATCTGGTGGACGTTACAGCCATTGGCTTTAAAGATAACTGAGGAGGTTTGAATGACGCTGCCCCTTCAGATGAGCTAGCGCTAATGCTAACGTTGGAGCTATTCAGTGCAGAGTTAGATGCTGATGAGAACTCGTCTTCTTCTACTCAGCAAACTTTAATGAGATGATACGAATGGCATCATTACATATATAAGCGCATTAATATTTACACGGAATGATGCAATCTCAAATGTGAGGGGTCTACAGTCTCGACCTGCTAGAAAAAAAAGCAAACCCCCATAGACTAGCATGATGTTCACCAGTCAAATCAGGATTTTGTCAGTCGGAATGAAATGTTCTCCAAAAGGGTAATTTTAGAGGAGAAGGAACAAAAATTCTTAACTTTCCATGTAAGTCAGTCAATGTAAACATTTTGTCTAATTTTGGGCTATTTTCTTTTGGTCCGTTCATCATGAAATTTTGATAGAATATAAAGAGCAGCTGACATTTTTAAATTATGTAAATACATTTTTTAAAAAAAGGAGAACGGAAAAAAATTGGATATGAGGTTTTGTTCCAAAAGCAATGATACGCTAATCTGATGGTGACCATGGTGGGTGACCAGCAAAACCAGCACTGGACCAGGTCCAGACCCAAATAATCCAGCACAGACCAGCATGGAACTCATGCTGTTTTTTTTATTTTTTTTTTCAGAAGGGTGTTTAATCTGACTAATTTATCAAGCTAACTATAAACAGCTAAGTTGAGAAAAGCCAGTTAAGGTCGCTAGAAGTTGTTTATCGTCATCATATCAAAATTAGCATTGGCAAGTAAAATAACCTCAATGAACTTTAGTTCATCTTAAAGCTCCAGTCCTCGAGAGCCAAAACACTGCACTCATTAAACACACTGGATTCAGCTCATCAGCTAATTAGCAAGGCCTTTATGAACTAATTTAAGAGCGTCAGATGAGGGTAAACGCTGATCTCTGCAGCACTTTGGCCCGGAAGGTCCCCAGTTTGACATGCCTGCCTTAGAGCCTGTTAATAGTTTTGTCATTGAACTTTTTCAACATTAAGAGTAAAAAAAACAAACCACCCTCCAGATGATCAAGATAATGTGTCCTAATTAAACGTTCCTCAGTAACCTTTAACCTTTAAAACAAAGATTTTTGCTTGATGGTGAATGTGGCTGGCTGAGAGATGGGTCAGTCATTATTTTGCAAACGGTCAGTGCTCTGAGTACTTACTAAAAATGTGCATCTTACAGTAATATCAATAAGAACAAAAAAGGACAGCAAGTTCCTTAATCAATCCACAATTGCTAATTAAAAATAAATTCCTACTCCTACTGAAAGGTGATCAGGTATTCTGGATACGCCTGCACGTCATGAAAGATCACAAATATCGTTGGGTTTTGTTGATTATCAGTGACACTGTCATATAAATCTGTGGCTGTAGAGCTCTTGGCTGGAGGTAAAAGAAGACCAGACTTCCCTGTAGTGAAGTCACCAACCAGCACTCTGGCCAGATACATGTGCTTATGACCTTGTTGGTCAGGCTTGGAGTATCCCCTGGCTGAGTAACTTGGGTCAACAGCAAAATACACACCATTCCCATATGCAGCACCTTCAGACAAAACAAAACAGAAAATAAATAAAAGAAACACATTAAGAAACTTTGAATTTGTAAGTCTGTACAGCTGTTTTATACCATGCGTCCCCAGCATAGCTCCGATTGAAGCCTTGGTGGTTGATCTTGTCGATCTTATCTGAGCCGGTGCCATGGAACAGCCTCCTCTCATTGTTTCTGTGCTTGTTCTTGTCATCTAAGTGATTCTTCTGGATTGTGAAGCTCCTCCACAGAGTGCTGTTCTGGACTCTCTCGATCTAAGAACATCACACAATGCAAACAAATCTAACTTTGTTTTGCTCCATTGATGGCATCAATCAATAGCGAACAATTTTTGCAAGACTGAACAAGCTGGTAAGTCAGTTCACAAAGTGAGAAAAATAACTTTACTGGCAACTTCAGAGCAATTGTCTTTAAAGCTGATGCAATAAGAAGACTTTATCTAAATGAGGGTTGTTTGTGCCAAGGTTTGATTTGAAATAAGAGCAAGTTGCATTTGCTGTGTTCATATTATGTAGAAAACTAAAAATCACAAAAAACAAATACTTTTCTTGTTTTTTTTTGGACAGCAACAAAAATGTTTGATTCCGGTCAGCATATTAACTTGGCCAGCATGCCAGCATCCAAAAAACTGCATATGCTGGTTCTACTGGTGACCAGCACTGCTGCTGACCTACATACCAGCATATAAAAACACAAGATAGTTTAGCTAGTTTTGGTAGTGCTGTTTTTTCTAGCAGACTGGACCACTATTTCTCACTGTAACATTTACTGAAAGTGTTTTGTAACAATGCATTTGCCCTAAAACTTAATCAGATTTTCACACAAGTCCTTATAGTAAGCAAAGAGAACCAAATTAAACAAATGACACAAAAATATTAAACTTGGTCAGGAAAATGATCCAATATTACAGATCTGTTAGTGGCAAAAGTATGTGAACCTGTGCTTTCAGTATCTGGTGCAGCAATAACTGCAACTAAACATTTCCAGTAGCTGTTGATTAGTCCTGCACATCGGCTTAGTGGAATTTTAGCCCCTCCATACAAAACAGCTTCAACTCAGTTATGTTGGTGGGTTTCCTCCCATGAACTGCTGCTTCAAGTCTTTCCACAACATTTACAAACATTAAATTTATTTTTCTTTAACCATTCTTTGGTAGAACGGCTTGTGTACTTAGGGTTGTTGTCTTGCTGTATGACCCACGTTCTCCTGAGTTTCAGATCACGGACAGGTCCTGACATTTTCCTTTAGAATTTGCTGGTATTATTCAGAGTTCATTGTTCCATTAATGACGACAAGCCATCCTGGCCCAGATGCAGAAAAACAGGCCCAAACCATGATACTACCACCACCACGTTTCACAGATGGTATAAGGTTTTGTATGCTGGAATGCAGTGTTTTCCCTTCTCCAAACATAACGCTTCTCATTTAAACCAAAAAAGATCTATTTTGGTTTAATCCATCCACAAAACATTGTTCCATGTGATCTTTATCAAACTGCAGATGGGCAGCAATGTTCTTTTTGGAGAGCAGCGGCTTTTCCTTGTATTCCTGCCATGCACACCATTGTTTAGTGTTCTCCTGATGGTGGACTCACGAACATTAGACACTGTGAGACAGGTCTTTAGTTGCTAGTAGAAGTTACCCTGGGTCCCTTTGTGACCTCGTGGACTATTACACACCTTGCTCTTCGAGTGATCTTTGTTGGCCGACCACTCATAGGGAGCTTAACGGTGGTCTTGAATTTCCTCCATTTGTGCACAGTCTGTCTGACCATGGATTGGTGGAGTCTAAACTCTTTAGAGATGGTTTTGTAACCTTTTCCATCTTGAAGAGCATCAACAGCTCTTCCTCTGAGCTCCTCAGAAATCTCCTTTGATACACATCCACAAACATGTGTTGTGAAGATCAGACTGTGATAGATCCCTGTTCTTTAAATTAAACAACGTGGTCACTTACACCTGATTGCCATCACATCACAATCCTAAAGGTTCACATACTTTTGCCACTCACAGATTTGTAATATCTGATCATTTTCCTCAATAAATAAAAGATCAACGCAAATATTTTTGTTTCATTTGTTTAGTTCTTTTTAATCTACTACTAGGACTTGTGTGAGAATCTATCTCGATAAAGTTTTAGGTCAAATTTATGCATAAATATAGAAAATTATAAAGGGTTCACACACTTTCAAGCACCACTGTATTTAACTAGCTGGATAAGGCAACCCTTACATGTCTGTGTTTAGCTGTGTTTGCTTTGATGTAGCTTAGAAAAACACCAGTTATTTCCTAGAAGTAACTGCTTATGTGGACAAGCATAGAGTGACCCCTCCTTTGCAGTCATCTTACATTAAGGATTTTACTGTTCAGTCCAGTTCTTCTGAACTCATTCTCCACATCTGTGTATTCCTGGCTGCCTTGTTGAATTTGGACCCGCTTAACAAAGCTTCCCGTCATGTCCTCCCAGTGACCGGGCAGAGGCACAGAGGAGTCATCTACAAAAAGACGTACCGGTAAAAGTAATAATCAAGCCAGTCATTAGTCATTATAGATACATGACAAAGATAATAGACAAATGGAGGTAGAAGAATACATATGCTGAAATGAATGATTATAGCCGAAGATTTTGTTCATAAACCATATGAAGCATCTTACCTCTGCGGTCAACTCTCTTCAATTCAATCCTCTCGCTTTTGCCAACAGCAACTCTTTGGGTTAAATCCACCTCAAACTCCTCGTTATTGATCCTGATCTTCAAGCCAGACTGTTTCAGTACAAAAGCCTCCTCCAAGTCATAGTTGGTTAAAATGTCAAAAGGTACCAGTTGATTTGCGCTGTCCAGGTACTGCCACTCTACAAAGCTGGTGACCATGAAGACCTCACGTTTTTGGGCTTCGTTCTTCTCCACTTTGCGGATCATGTCCCGGATGGCGCTCTCCGCCTTGACCACGTCTCGGATCAGGCCCTCCACGATGATGACCAGCTCTGGGCCGTTCTTCTTCAACCGGATGCTGACCGTGAGCTCCCTCTGCAGGTTAGTCAGCATCTTTGCATCCTCTCTGGTGAAATAGTTGATGGAGGGGTCTTGGATGGATGAACTCGTTTGTTCCTTCACAAGGAAGCTGTTGATCAGTTCTCGGGCTTCATTCAGGTCCTGCTGGGTCTCTCCACAAAGCTGAAACACCGCCGGCTCAAACTCCTCACCCACCTTCACAAAGTCTTCATTTGCAGAGGGTTCTAGATTGTCGCCAATGTTCATATTAAGTATTAAAAAAAGAACATGGTAAATTTGACAAAATGTAGTTTTATTTTTAACAATTTAAAATTGCTGAATAATGAGAGAAAAATCTTAAGCAAAGAAAAAGAAGCACACCAACTTACAGTAACTATGACAGGTAACTGCACAAGAGACTCACCAGGAGATGCTGAGGATCTGACAACAGGTGCCTTTTCCTGAATGGCATGTCCTTCTTTCGTGGTAGAACCTGGCCTTTCATCAAACACGACCACAAATCTATGTTCCTTTATCAGCACTAAGAACATGCTTCCATGCTCCTGGAAGTACTTTTTAGCACCTGCTTTCTTAATCGTCAGCCTATCCGTGTGGAGAGCGTCTGCAATCTTCTGAAAGTTCTCTACGGCTGGTTGGACGTGCACACGCTCCCCAGACAGTCGGATCGAGGGTGTTTTTTGGTCAAAATGAACTGTTACCTCATTGGGCTTTACAAATTTCTGCCAAGCAGGTGCCTTTTTCTCGTCTATGAACTTCACCACAGCGCATGATTTGACCTGAATAACTCTTTCAATTCTTGAGCGTGTGTTGATGAATTTCTTCAGGCTCTTGTTGACCTCCAAGACTGGTTGCTGAAAGCCAAACACTACAAGTCTATCCTTCTGTTCTGAGGGTTTTACAATCACCGTTTTCTTGCTGGAGTTGTAGGTTTCACACAGTTGATCGTTGAGAGAGCGCCATTCTGGCTTTTCAAGCACACCCAAGTCCTCTAAAGAGAGGGTACTGGACGCAAGTGCCGTTTGAAGAGCTTTCTCTGCCACAGTCAGTGATCTGTCGGAGCTCCCAGTCAACACAACATCCCCATTTTCAACTGTGCAGACTGCACTGATTCCCTTGGATGTGAACAGATCTCCTGACATCACCTCACAGTCCACTGATCTCAGGAACTCCAGTAACGAAGCATCCATTTTCAGAATCTTCTGTTTCATGTTCAGTTTCCTCTCAAGGACGTGACTTTTGATGTTAATAATTTCCACAGGAAGACCACGCAATGTTAACTGATTGGTGTCTTTTTTGTATGCAAGCTCCAGCTTGGGATATTTAGCTGCAGCTCTGCTTTGAAGTCCTTCCTGCAGAAGCAACGAGAACATGGCAGGGGGCACCTCGAAAGTTTCTGAGATGCCGTTCTTGTCCCTTTCCACCTGATCTGATGCCGTCTCTAAAAGATTTTTCAAAATTGGCGTGAGCAGTTTAATGTCTTGAGCCATTCCAGCCACTGCCAGGACTCCGTCAGACATCCTGACAGAAGCATTGTCTTTCACTACTGACCAGATGTCTTTCTCTACTGCAGACCAAACAGAGGGGATCACTTGATGCTCAAAAACAGCGTAGCTGGAGAGTATTTTTCTAAAGCCATCTGTGGCATTTTTCTTCCAGGTGTCTATTATGTGACTCTTGGTTATACCCTTCTGCTTCAAGAGTGTAAAATGAGGACTAAGCTGTACTTCAGCTTTGTCCATGTTCACGTGGCAGAAAAGTGAGATCATCTCTTGACAGATGGAAGATATCAGCCCCTTCTTATTGAGGAATTCCCTGATAGCAGGATGGATCTTCTCTGTGAAAGGTTTGGGCAGTGCCCATGTTGGTCTGTCTTTGCCATACAAGGCAGTACCCAAAGATATGAAATATGGGTATATATAGACAATTCTGTTAATGATGCATCGTTTTCCCAGGACTTTTTTTACATCTGGAAAAGGAGGATGACAATTATTCTCCAATTTATACAAAACTGGGGGAAGAAATGAAACATAACTTTTGCACAGGCTGCATTTTATGGCACATTTTTATTTTTTCCCCAATTTATGAAATGCAGTGAATTCATAGAAATAGTGAACTAAAATTTGCAGAAAATGCTTTAGGTTCTCTGTGGAAGACATACATACTTTCACTTAAAACTTGTCATAAGTTTAAAACACCCATATGACTGTATATGTTGATCTGAGAATTTACTTCAGGTAATCTCCAAGACAGAAAACACCAATTACTTACCCTCTTCACTGTGAAATGTGACTATGGCAGCCTGCTCTTCTGGAATCATGGTGACTTTCTCCACAGCTCCAATGCACTTTTCAAAGTAAACTTCTAGCAGGTCTGCTGAGATCTCGCCATGTACGTTTTCCACTTTAACACTTCTACGTTTTTCCAGAGCTCGAGCTCTAACACCATACTGCTGGAACTTCTTATGGCTCCGGCTCTCCATGAGAAACTTCTCAGCAACTGGGAAAAGAAAAAAAAAAGCTTAAATGACAGTTTGACAGTTTGATGGGTTCTACTCAGGGCTCAATGATACACAGTTGGCTCAGTTTTGGAGGAGGTTGTCAAGGACATACCTTCGAGGTCATTAAAGATCACAACAGCAATGTTTGATTCTCTTATTAACTCCAGGGTGAACTCCTTTTCAGGAACACCACTGATTTTCTCCAGTAAAAGCACAAGAACATCTTTGGAAAAGCTGTCTGGAAGTTTCTCCAGTGCCACATTATTGGACTGTGGAGGGTCTTCCAAACAATCCTTGAGCGATTCCTCAGCTGGGTCACTCTGAATCCCATCAGGGCTAACTGGAGGCAAAATCAGTGGAAGCAAGATGGCGTCACAGTGGGTTTATCTTTGCAGCCATTATTAAGGATAGAAGAGAAGACTCACCGTTTGGAGGTAGACTGACTGACCCCATGCGTACCTCCTGATCAGTCCATTCTGAAATACTCCCTACAGGTGGAAGTTTGAGACAAAATGATGTAATTTGTTCAACACAAGAGGGAGAAGAAAACGTGAATGACTGTGGTTCTTCCTGAAGTAATGCCACATAATGAGATACATGTGCGAACGACAAACATCAAATAATTGCAAAACGCGAAATGCTCGCTGTGAGAGTTCAAGCACTGCAACCGCTGCTTTCTTTCAATCAGGATTACAGCACCACACTGCTTTGCTGATGCATAGAAACACCAAAATGAGTGTCCAAAAACAAGAGCAAGAGATCATAAAACCAACTGATTTTGACAAGACTCTATAATATTCTGTAGCCTCCTTCTCTCTTTGTTCTAGTTTTTTTTTTTTTATTAGCATTAGCCATTCGCATTATCCATCGGAATATCCATTAGCAACCATCAGCATAAGCCATTAGCATTAACATTACACTAACCTTGCTGTTAGCCTCCCTTCTCCTTTGTTTTCTTTGTTCCTATGTTGCTATTAGCATAGCTTAGCCTAGCATAGCCTAGCCTACCATTGTTTTCTTCTAGGCCTCAGGGTTTAGTTTTCTTTATGCTCTGTTCCTTTCTTGTTATTATCTTTTCACTGCTAACAAATCCTCTGTATAAGTGTCATTAACTCTCCCAGACTTCCCTACTCCAGCCACACGACGTGAACTGCGCCAGTTTCTAGGCATGGCTGGGTACTATAGGGGGTTTTGTAGAAACTTGTCCACTGTTGTTGAGCCTCTTACTAGACTGCTCAGCCCTTCCGTACCATTTCGGTGGTCCTCTGACTGTGAACGTGCATTTCAAAGTGTGAAAGTGCTCTTAAGTGAGGCGCCCGTTCTTGCTGCTCCAGATTTTACAAAGCCATTCCAATTGGAGGTTGATGCCAGTACAGTTGGTGCAGGAGCAGTATTATTGCAAGAGGATGGCTGCGGTGTAGTGCCTCCTGTGTGTTACTTCTCAGGAAAATTGAACAAACATCAACTCAATTATTCTACCATCGAAAAGGAAAATTTAGCACCACATTTTAACTTGATGTGATGTTGGATCAAGCAGTTTGCCTGTCACAGTACATACTGATCACAACCCTTTGGTGTTTTTTTATCCAGGATGTATAATCAAAATCAGCGTTTGATGAGGTGGGCCCTTTTAATGCAGGATTATACGCTGGATATTAAACACAAGAAAGGTGTTCATAATGTGGTGGCAGATGCTTTTTCTCGAGCATAAACATGTTAGAAGCGCCGTTTGTGGTTTATCTTTGATTTTGTGTGTAAGCCACAAACTAACGTTGCTCTCTTTTGGGAGAGCTTTCTCTCTCCCCTTTTACCCAACCAGATCGCTGTGCAGGGTGTGCATCCAATGGGCCAATGTGGACATCGAATGCTTGGCTGTGCTCTTCTCTCCACCAATCCAGATGGTGGACCTTGGCAGATAAAAGGACTCAGCTGAGACTAGTCATGTGTGGGAGCATTTAGTGTGCATGAGACTTATGGTGTTGGCCATAATGGCAAGCTGTGCTACTCTAGCAGTGAAATGTAACCGGTAATGTCAGTCTCCTGTGCTCCCTCTCTAGCTCTCTCTCTCTCTCTCTCTCTCTCTCTCTGTTTTCTCTCCCCCAGCACAATGTGTGGACAGGCAAGTTGGGTGCGCCTATACATATAAATACACAGTAGTGGTTGGATTGTTTAGACACATCAGGTAAGGGGCGAGTGCCACCCGCTGTATTTTGGTGAGGATTAGCCTTGGCTAGGCAGATTAGATTTTGGTTTCTTTGTTTCATTTCTTTGGCACCGTCCTCCGTCCACCTTTGCGGTTGGTTGGGTCACATTAGTCAGTGTTCTTGTATAACCAGTGGCTAATTAACTCCTTTTCTTTTAACCTATACTCATTCTCAGCTCAGCTTATTGTATCATCTCTTTTCCCTTGTAAATATTATTCTTGTATCATACACTTTTGCAAGTGAGAAGCAGTAAAGCATTGACTGAAAACGCTACTACTGTGTCCTTGTGTCCTTCCCTTCCGTCTCCCATCACATGCCATGTTATTTCCTCTCCACCCCTAGCTACATCTGAGGGGAACGTAACACTGGTACTTTTTCCAAATTTTTCTCCCAATGTAGTTGTTTCCGCCAGCCACCGATCTCCTTCATCTAGCCACCAACTGTCGCTAACTGACCACATCTGACTATACATAATACATCTGTGGTCTCAAGAGCTTCTTTGCTAAGTTCTCTGCCAGATTAGAACTGGAGGGGGAATTAAATATAATTACGTCACTAAAGTTGCTTTATATAAAATTAAACAGTTTAAAATAGTTTGTCATTTTCTATAAACAATGCAGATTATTTCCAACAATAAGGTTTTGTTTTTTTGTTTAAGATGTGCAAACAATATCCCACCTGGTTGCTGAAGGTCAACTGCCATAGCACTTCCTGCTCCAGCCTAATACAGAAACATCACAATTGGTCAACTTCATCAACTGTTTCTGATTCATAACACAGCTAACCTTTCAAGCACCACTATATGGAAGGGGTTGTATTTGTTTTAGGGCTATGACTAATGATGACTTGCATAATCGATTAATTGGTTCATTATAGCTTTGATTAAGCTTAGCTTTGGGGCAGTGAGGGCCAAAGTACAGAGAGAAAACTGCTAAACATGAAAAGTTAATAGTTTCTAATCACTCGCCCAGAACTTTCCTTTAATTTTAAAGTAGAAGGATGTATTTTACTAAAAAAAGCAAAGTAAACCGTCCTGTATGTTTCCTTTTTTCTACAGCAAACGGGTTTTGGGCAGCAGGACGCTAACATTACTGCTACTGAGTGCTGATTGGTTGGCGAGCGGAGCAGCTCATTGGATGTTCGTGCTCACAATCGTCATGAACGTACATGAGGCGCCATTTTGAACTTCCATAAACGGTGTTTAAAAGCTCTTAAAAATATAACAGCAGTGTTAAAAGGTTAAAAGGCTGTTCTGTGTTCAGTAAGTGAATGGATTCTTTCATATTAAAAGTTCTCTGACTTGGGCTGGAAAAATGGCGGGAAAAAGACAAAGAAAAAAGACACTGAAACGTCTCAGACAAAGGAAGCTCTCCAAAAATACAACTGATAATAACCAGACAGCAAAACAATTCCTCTATAGTCATACAAGGAAGATGAACTTTTTTTTTGTATTGTTTTTTGTGCTCCTTTTCACTTTTCTGTTATGAGGAGTTTGAATTTCATTTTAACCTTCTGGTATTTTGGGGCAGAGTTTCTTTTCAGCCCTCTTTTTTTCTTTTCTCTTTGTTTTGGACCTGTTTGTGTCTTTTCCTTCCTTTTATTTAACTTTCTTTGGTCATTTTGATTCAGCTAACACACCGGTCACCCCTCTACAAAGGTGCAATGCCAAACTGCTGTTTGCCACGGGCTTAAATGCAGCATGGCCCAGGTGTGCCTGGTTGGTGCTAATCAGCCAACCAGCATGGGCTTCTGGGAATTGGAGTTCCCTGGGCAGGTGGCACTCGCTACTGTCGCCCTCTGCTGGTGGGCAGCAGCACAGAGTGATCACTTACGAGAACAACATATGAACAAATATCACATGGCAGACGAAGTACTATTATGGAGGCAGTTTAATTCTAGAAAACCTATGCATTGTATTTTGCGTAGTCGGTAACACATTCATTCATTCAGCTTCTAAGCCGCTTATCCTCTTGGGTGGTCGGTAACATCATGTAATCAAGTTTGATATAACAGAGCACATAGAAGCAGCCAATATAAACAAAATATAAACACGTGATGCAGTAACTGAACCGCTGATGACCCCAAAATGAATCTCATGGCTTTGTGAAGATGGTTTTGTTCTTGGTTGATTGGTGGACCCATGAAGATCTATTGGCTATGAAGGTACCTCAAAACTACCGCTGAACTGGCAGAGCAATACCGTTTCTTAAAAGTTACAAATAAAACATAAGCAGTTTTGTCCACTTACTGCTCGGCTGGTCTCTGCGGTCTGATTTCCTTCATCACCGGGTTTGAACACCTTCAGTTTCACCAGCTGGTTTTCAATAGTTATGGAGTGATCTCCTTTAGCCAGAACCTGATCTCGAGCTGGAACGAAAAGCAGGAGGTCTTCAATGAAGAGCAGTAGCTAAAGTATTATTACAATTCCAAGTAGGACCAAAAGAATAATCGTTTTTATATCGAAATCTCAATTAGAAAGAGTGCACACACTGCACTGTGAATTTCCTCCATTGTGGAACTAATAAAGGATTATCTTATCTTATCTTATCACCAAAAAATCTTGTTTGCAAGCCCTTTTTCCACGGACACTTGAAACAGAGAAGGTCATGACCTGAGGGCTCCCAAAATTGACTACTTGTTTAGTATTTTGGCAAAATTCCTTCAAGAAAAAAAATCTCAAAATGGGAAACGTTAGATATTTTAACAAGATATAAGATCATTTCACTTGACAAGATACCATTTGTTGCAGTGAAATTTTAGTGGTCCAGTGTGTTTTATCTCTTTATTTAAAGTCTGTAGATGAAAATAGCAAAATAAGGCCTTTTTATACGATATATCATGGTTCTTTTAAGGGCAAAGGTAACTTTGAACAAGTCTGAAAGCAAGTTATATTTCTTTAAAAATCCTGTTCTGTCATAAGAGGGTGAGCTATTATGGAACAAGTGGGTCAACACATTTGAAGCCTTTATTTTGTTGTCTCTACACAGCTCATATAGCACAATAAGGCCTCTTTATACAATATCATGGTGCTTTTAAAGGTCATCACTCTGAGATAGACTGAAACTAAGCTATAATACTTTATAAAGTGCTATTTTTCCATGTTAAAGTGAATTTTAGTCGCTACAATCTGTTACTAACTCTGACATCAATGTACCATCTACTATGTTTGGCTGCATTATAAAATTTCACCATTTGTTGCACATCCTACAGTTCCCTAAGTATAGACATATGATTTTATTGTTGTGATTTATACAATGAATATGACCACTGAATCCACTATTATTATTATTATTATTATTATTATTATTATATTTTTAGTGCAAGTGGTCTAAGAAGGAAACTCAGTGCTGTTTTACAATGATTACATATTCATGAATGAAACTGACTCATCAGTGCCGCCTACAGGCGAAACAGCGTCTCTGCAACAGCACTTAAGGTGGAACGGAAAATTCAAAGAAGAAGCCAACTTCAGTTCAGCTTTAGGGAAACACTGGCGTTGCAATCAGCTGAGAGTCTGTATGAAATACATAATACCGTACATTTTTAATCGACTACTCACTCTGAGCTGATCTGAAGAGAACAGTAGCGGCGCTGCTGTCCTCGGAGAAACTCACCACACAGTCTCCACCCTGAGACTTCTTCCTGCTCTGAAAGTAAATCTGGAGTTTGGCAGTGAGGGTCCTGGTGGAGGCTGACGGCCAGCGACCCTCCACAGCCTCCACACTGATGGGGTGAAGATATTCCTCCATTTCTCCTCTCTCAGTTCTGAAACTGAGGAGGAGCCGCTCAGCCCTGATCAGCCTGTGCTGAGTGAACTGCGGCAGGTTTTAAGGTGGAACGGATTCCAAGTTCAGTCTCGTCGCTCAGTTCCGGATCCGTTTCACTTTGGTTTCGTTTAGCAGGAATGAGCCTGGAGTTAAACCATACACTTAACTTAAAGGGGAACCCCAACCATTTTTCAAAAATTCTACAGGAACCACAACACAACAGAAGATGTGAAGGATGTGAATTACACTACCCGGAACGCCACAACTAACGTTAGCCATGAAACACTGACCCCTTTTCGGCCCAGTTCCTGTTAGCCGAGCGTCACGCAGCTGGTCCAAGGCTGGCAGCCCGTGTCAGTTCTGACGCTTTGCCCAAGTACACTGGCCTAAATCCGGATGGCAGATTTGTACAGACTCTGCCATAACTGGGCTGGAAACATCCCAAAATCACTGATTTCATTTTGTTTCCTTTACTACTGTATACACACAAACACACACACACAGACACACACACATACAAACATATGTGTGTGTGTGTATATATATATATATATATATATATATATATATATATATATATATATATATACACACACATAATAAACTTTGATACATATTAAATGAACATTGATATATATTGAATGAACCTTGATATATAATATTTTAATATATAATATTTCCTGTTTGGACATATATATATATATACACTTCTGGGCAAAAAAAATGGGCTCATGTATAATAGTTTTTACTGATAGTTTTGTGGATTTGGCTGGTCAGAGTCCGGATATTACAGTGGTTGAGACCCAACAAACTGCAAATAAAAGCTGAGGACACAGACACTACATTTCCTAAACACACTGAGCCTTAACATCTAGCAGCAGAACTTCAAAATCTGTCCTGAAAGTAGTCAGTGCAGTTCTTTCTAAACGGCAGTAATCTGATCTCTCTGTACTGCCGCATACGAGTTGTAAGGGATGTACTGTTTTGTCCAATAAGAAAATCATTACAGTGATCAACTCTGCTTGTAACAAATGCATGAACAAGTTTCTCTGCGTCGCTCTGAGATAGAAAAGGCCAAACTTCAACGATATTTCTCAAATGATAAAAAGCTACTTTAGTGACTGTGTTTACATGGAAATTAAAACAGAACTCAGAGTCTAAGATCACACACAGGTTTCCTACTTCAGGTTTAGTATATGAAGCTAAAGAACTGAGCTTCTCATAAAGCAGCTTTCTCTGAGTTTTAGTACTGAGGATCACTATTTCAGTTTGTTCATCATTTAGTTGTAGAAAATTTTGTTCGATCCACTGAAAAACATCTGACACAACAGAGTCTTGATTACTAAAAGGAATAGAAATGTATAATTGTGTCATAAGCATAGCTATAAAAATTGATATGATATTTCCTAATGATTTCACCTAGAGGTAACATGTACTAAGAGAAAAGTAAAGTCCCTAAAACTGAACCCTGTGGGACTCCACAAGAACTGTTTCATTTTGATGAATGATTTCCCATTGAAACCATGAACTTTCTATTTAACGAAATATGATTTAAACTCTTCTAAAACTGTCTGAGAGGCCTACCCAGAATTCAAAACTGTGGATTAGAATCTTGTGATTAACAGTCTCAAAAGCTACACTAAGATCCAATAAGACCAGAACAGAAGGATGTTGTGCATCAGTGCTGAGCCTGAGGTCATTCACAACATGAACCCATGTTGTCTCAGTACTATGGTTAGCACAAAACTTGTTATCAGCATTTAATTGTTTGAAAACAAGCTTTTCTAAGACTTTACTTAAAAAAAGAAAGGTTTGAAATTGGTCTAAAATTTCCAAAGCATCTGGAAAAGCACCTGTTGAGAGAGAACATAATCAAAAACCATCCATCCATCTTCTAAGCCACCTATCCTTTTGGGTCACAGAGGGCGTTCCCAGTGTTCATCGGGTGGGAGGCAGGAAACACCCTGGACAGTCGCCAGTCCATCCATTGCAGGGCAGACAGACAGACATATACACTCACACTAATCAAAACCCATTTTAAGAATATTCATTTTTTACTTCAAAATTATTTATGCAATTATAAATTAGCTAATATACATTTTTGAGGCTGTAAAATGTTGAACCTTCCTGGAATAAAATACAAACAGTGGACTGACCAGAGTTTTAGACTATTAAGTGTGTTATTACTATGTATTGAAATTGAGCATTAGCATGTTTAAAGAGATGCCCAAGGCATGTATAGAGGTGTATTTTTGGGAAAAAGTATTAAATTCCCTTAAACTCATAATTATATTAAAAGCTATCACTGAAAAATGAATGAGTGGTTAATAATGAGATTATTTCTTAACTGTACACAGACCCCAATATAAGCAAATAACCAGCCGACGGTGACAGAACTTTTAACCGATGGCCACACAGGAGTGTTCAAATTCCTCTTTATTTTCTGAGATTAAGAAACCCAATAAGACCTTAAAAGGGAACTTACATAATGTTCATGTAAAAGCTCTGTGAAGGTGCTCCAAAAAGTAAGCAAAGGAAATCATGATTCAAGCAGAAAAAAAATTTAAACCAATTTAAACTAAAATATTTAGTGAAAGAACTCAAATCAAAGAATATATCAGCATGAAATGTTGCTGAAATATAAAAAGATGTAAGACTGATATGAAAACTCTTGACTTTCCTCTGTTATGTAAAGCCTTACAGTGCATATCATTCAACAGTCTGTTGTAACTGACATATTGAAACACATTAAAGATGGGCAGCCATTGGTTGATAATCAGTATTTTTTCTGTGATTGACACAGATCAACAGGAACTTGCCTTAGAGGTCTAATACAACACTACAAAGGATAAAAACATATTTTTCAGCGTGGATTAAACACATGTAACTAAAATACCCATTCATGTCAAATTCAAAATAAAAAATGGCATAAGATATAGACATTTATTGATATCAGTGACACATTTTGCATAACAGTAGCACAGAATCTGACATTACAAATAGAGTCTGAAATTGTAAGGATTAGATGGATACTTTACCAGTAATCTACATTTTTTGCCATAGAAGTTTATCAATGATGACATATGAGACCTAATCCAAAACCAGCTCATCCATGTGACCCCCAAAGATAATACTATTATTTATTTCACCACCAAATTCAAAGTAATTCCGTATGTGTACCCACAATAACAATAAGGACAAAAAGACAGCAAGGACAGTGTTCCTTAATCTATCTACAATTGAGCAAACAAAGTAAAGAAAAACAATCATTTCCTACTCCTACTGAAAGGTGATCAGGTATTCTGGATATGCCTGCGCATCATGAAAGATCACAAACATAGTCGGCTTTTGTGCATTATCAGTGACGCTGTCATATAAATCTGTGGATCCAGAGCTCTTGGCTGGAGGTGAAAGAAGGCCATGTTTCCCTGTAGTGTAGTCACCAACCAGCACTCTGGCCAGATACATGCGCTTATGACCTTGTTTGTCTGGCGTGGAGTATCCTTGGGCTGAGTAACTTGGGTCAACAGCAAAATACGCACCATTTCCATACATGGCACCTTCAGACAAAACAAGACAAGGACTTAATTTCAGAAGCACATTCACATTAACATCTTCTGAATCAGTATGTTTTTATAACTGAATAACAAACAAATTACAGTAAATTTTACAGATTATTATGTTATAGCTGTATTCTACCGTTCATGCCAGCATAGCTCCGATTGAAGCCTCGTTGGTTAATGTTTTCTATGTTTTCAAATTTGGTGCCATGGAACAGCCTCTTCTCATTGTTGCTGTGCTTGTTCTTGTCATCCATGTGTTTCTTCTGGATTGTGTAGCTCCTCCATAGAGTGCTGTTCTGGACTCTCTCGATCTAAGAACATCACATAGCGCAAACAATCATTATTACTGTGAGCCATATCCCTTCTAAGAGGGAGGAACTTTGAGCAAATGTGAGTCAGAGGAGCAAAGAGTGCATGCTGCAGAGTATGACTGAAGCATGACTACCAAGGTACGAGGGGGCGAGGCCATACAAAGATTTAAAAAACAGCACAAGCAATTTGTATTGAACATGATACTGTACTGGGAGCCAATGAAGATGCTTCAAAGTTCGACTGATGTGCTCACTGGATCTAGTGTGCTGAATTTTGCACATACTGCAGCCCAGCAGGGAGTCCATGTAGCACAGCATTGCTGTAGTCAATTCTAGATGTTACAAAAACATCTGCACATTGGCCGCAAAACAGTGAAACTGCAACCCATGTCACCTGATGATGTCACCAAGGGCGAGCATGTACAGTATAAAGAATAATGGGCCAAGAACTGAGCCCTGAGGGACACCACATGACAGGGAGCATGAGGCAGATCTATAATTTCTGATAGAGACAAACTGCTGCCTGTCTGCTAGATATGACTGAAACCAGGCATACCGTGCATTGATAACCTGAGTAATGAGAGGGCAAACTGAAGCATGACAAGCTTTCATCCAGTGTGTTGGCATTGGGTCCAGTTGGCAAGTGGTGGCTCTGGAGGACTTAATAAGCTGTAAGACAAAACTATCATGCACAGTAGTAAAAGTGGAAAAACAACTGATGGAGGATGGAAATTCAATGGAGCTATAATTGAGAATACATATTTTTTTGATTAAAAAAGACCATAAAACGAGAGCAAAGTTCTGGTGATGGAGCCAGAGGAAAACATTTCACACGGCACAGTAAATTATTAACAGTAGAAAAGATAAAATACATGCATAGCGTAACCTCTCATTTGTAGTAATCTTACATTAAGAATTGTATTCTTCAGTCCACTTCTTCTGAACTCATTCTCTACATCTGTGTATTCCTGGGTGCCTTGTTGAATTAGGATCCTCTTTACAAAGTCTTCCTTCATGTCTTCCCAGTAACTGGGCAAAGGCACAGTGGATTGATCTAAAAAAAGAAGAAATAAAGGTAGCATTAATAAACAAAGCAATTAATATTCCAATCAATTGAAATGCACAATTAAAAAAGGTGCCAGAAAGATTTATTTGGAGGCTATTGAGCAACTTTTCTCAAAAAGTGTAAAGAATATTCCAGATGTGAAAGGTTCCTAAATGGTTATTGGCTATTATGTATGATTCTAATAGAAAATACATGCTGAAATGAATTATTATGGCGGAATAACTATTTGAAGCCTCTCACCTCTCCAGTCAACTCTTTTCAATTTAATCTCTCCATTTCTCCCAATAGCCATTCTTTGGGTTAAATCAACGTCATACTGCTCGTTTTCAATCTGGATCTTTATGCAAGGTTGTTTTTTTAGATAGGCCTCCTCCAGGTCAAAGTTTGTGTAAATATCAAAAGGTTTGAGCTTGTCTGCACTGTCCACATACTGCCACTCTATAAAACTGCTGATCATGAAGGCTTCACGTTTTCGGGCCTCATTCTTCTCCACTTTGCGGATCCTGTCCCGGATGATGCTCTCTGCCTTGACCACATCTCGGGTCAGGCCCTCCACAGTGATGACTGGCTCCGGACCATTCTTATCAAGCTGGATGCTGATCGTGAGCTCCCTCTGCAGGTTGGTCAGCATCTCTGCGTCCTCTCTGGTGAAATGGTTGATGGCAGAGTCCCGGATGGGTGAACTCGTGTGCTCTCTCACGATGAAGCTGTTGATCAGTTCTCGGGCTTCGTTCAGGTCCTGCTGGGTCTCTGCACACAGCTGAAAGACCGCCGGCTCAAACTCCTCACTCGCCATCACAAAGTCCTCATTCGAAGGGACTTCTGGACTGTTGCCCCGAAAGAAGTTGGTCATAGAGCCAATTTTTCCTTTTTCCCCCAGCATTTCATAAAATGAAAAGGAAAACAAGTAAGTTATGTTTATCATGTCTAATAAATTATATCTTTTCCACAGTGGAGACTGCATAAAGCAATCTGTAAGAGATTTGTCTGTTGGACTCGTATGTGATAAAGTAGATGCATAATTTTCCAAATTCCCAAAATATTCAGATTAAAATCACTGATCTCATTGGTAACCCTGTAAATTCTTATTTTAACGGGTAAAATGAATTCATGTCCAACTAGGTTTTTTGGTGTAAATTCTTGTACCTTTGACTTCTTAATTTTGTGGTAATTTCCTGACTTTTTATTCACTGAATTTATCCACCCACCTTTAAACCAGCCAAACACAGTGGTGTCTTCCTCCACGCCCTCCTGCTGCCTCTTCAGCATGCTCTGGTGGAAATCTGACGCCATTGATGTCTGGAATAACAGGAACTTCACACTTCGTAAATTCCCTTTTTTCTTCTTTTTCACAAAGTCGATCACGGCATCAATCATGGCATCAGCAACAGCAGAAGGACTTGCACCACCTTGACCTAATCATTGACATACCAAGACCATTGAGCAGTCATAGCTGTCCTTACAAGTATTTAATGCTAAGAAACAGTGAGACAGTTCTGATCATGCTGTGCTGTACCTGTGCCAAGAGCCGGAAAGGCAACAGAGGAGAATTTCTGAGCCTCACACAAGTTTAAAACAGAGTGAACAGCATCCTTGATGGCTGCAGAACTTTTTTGGCCTTTGACGTGAATTATGTGTCTGCATGGGAGCTGACCTCCAGATGTCACAATCATTTCCTTCTGTTGTGATGCACCTACTATGGAAAAAATGCAATGTAAATTAAAACAATAATAAAAAGGTTAGTAAGAAATCATAACATAAAGGATATCATTTTATAAAATAATTTTCTAAGAAACCCAAAGGGTTCACAGACCAATCTCTGCACATTCCTGTTCCACTGCTAATCCAGCTGCATCTAAAATTGCCTTGGAGACTCCTGGATTAAACCAGATTACACACAAACACAAATTTACATATAAAAGTAATAAAAAAATCGAATATTTCTGTGAATAAAGAACCTACCTGATTTCAAAGAGAACGATTTATTGGAGGAGTTAACAATGGCGTCACTTTTCTCTTTGGTGATGTCACCTGATGACACCTCCAGGGTCACATGTCCCACCTGCACTGTGTGCACTCCGAGAGTCGGAGTGGAAACCACTCCAAAGAGTCCTGGTGTATAGCACAATGAATTGTGTCATCATGTTTTTTTCTAGTATTTGTTTGACTTACTTAAAATTTGGTTGACAGGTTTATAATCATTTTTATGCAATGACAAATGATAGTTAATTAGTAATAAAGAGAGGACTGCATGAGGTGGTTTGAGATTACTTAACAGCTCAAAGCAGATTTGAGGCAAGTGCGAGATGGTTAGGGTAGGTAAGCAGTTTGCACATTGCTAATTGGTGGGGCATAAGCTTGCATTACATTCTCCTTGTAGCTTCAGTAAAAAACCTAAATAAGCAATCTTCAGACAAACCTGCTTTGGCTGATCAACAACATTTAACCCCTTTAGTAAATTAGCACTTTAAGTGAGCGTAATTCATTAACTATGTTGAGTTAATTCAAAAGAAAAACCCACCTGGAGGATGCGAGGATCTGGCAACAGATGACATTTGTTCAGGTGATTGTTGTTGAATGGCATGTGCCCCCTTTGTGATTGGACCTGGCCTCTGACTTCTGAAGCTCTTTATGAAACTCTAATGGGCAAGAAAATCATTACAAACCAGAAGCATTAAAATAACACCCACTGAAATTTTAACTTCTGCATTCCTTTGCTATTGGCAGACACTGTCAGATAAGCAATTTAACTTATGATGAGCTGTCAATCTTTTATCTAGTACCTGTACAGTCTCGTTGTCTGAAGGGTGCACAACCACAGTCACTTCTTTAAGGTATTGAGGCCTGACTTTTGCACTAAAGTCATGAATCTCTCTCAGCAGAATGCCGGACACCAAGTCTTTAGGAAAGCCAAGGTTCCCGGTTCCAATGGCCGGGAAGGAAATTGAAGCCATTTTCTGGTGTTCTGCTTTTTTAAGGCAGTTGCTAAAGATTTGTTTCAGTGTCTGTTGGGATGAAAATACATATTATCATAATCTGTATATTGCACAGTACATATCTGGATATTCACTATGTCCAAATATTGGTAAGATCTCTCAAAATCACCTCAGCTTCTGAATCAGCTCCTCCGTTCCAAAATGGACAAACTGTATGGAAGACCTTTTGACAACTTAAATTGTAGCCACCAGTGATCACTATGTTCCCATAACCTAGATTAGAAGATCCATTTACAGAACTAGCTTCTGCCTGCATTTGAGGACCAGCAGCCTGTAGGAGTGCTTTGGAGACAGCACCTTTGCTGAGGTCCACGTCTCTTGAGATGGTGTTGACAATCACATCAGACTGCAGGGGTAAATAGTAAAGATAATCATTCAAGGCCAGGAAGTGACATTCACAGATTATTCATACTGACTGCTGGTGCATTATTAATTAAAAGAAAGGAATTTTAATAAGCTACAAAAGGTAGAAGTGTATACCTGTATATTCACTTACCTGTGCATCCTGGATATTGCCTTTCTTCAGAATGATTCTGAGTCCCTCTTGTGTGGATTGAGTTTCAAGGAACCCTGGACTGTCCAGTACATCAGTTTGTGTCCCGGACAGTGGCTTTAAGTTTTGTCTCTTTGTCACTCCTTCAAACTTCACAGTTTCATTTGCTCTGTAAATCTGTGACTCCTTAACCCTTGGTGCAACATCTTGATGTCCATGTCCACGAGCACCTTGACCACTGACAACAGCACCTACTTTAAACTCACTGACCTGACCAGGCACCTGGACCTCAGAGAATGACTGTCCTAAATCTTCCATTTTAGCATTATCATCATTCTCTGTGTCCTCATTCAGCATGGGATCATCCTCAAGAATGACCACAAATCTATGTTCCCTCATCATCACCAAGAACATGCTTCCCTGCTCTCGGAAGTACTTTTTAGCACCTGCCTTTTTAATCGTCAGCCTATCTGTGTGGAGCGTTTCTGCAATTTTCTCAAATAACTGCACAGCTGGCTGGACATGCACACGCTCTCCAGACAGTCGGATCAAGGGTCGTTTGGGGTCAAAATGAACTGTCACCTCATCAGGCTTTACAAGTTTCTGCCAAACTGGGGACTTTTTCTCATTTATGAACTTCACCACAGCATAAGACTTGACACGAAGGACTTCTTCAATTCTTGAGTGCATATCAATAAATTTCTCCAGGCTCTTGAAGACTTCTGAGACGGGGCCCTTAAAGCCAGAAACCTCAAGTCCTTGTTTTGAGGGTTTTATCATGACAGTTTTTTTCATAGAGTTGTATGTTTCACACAGTTGGTCGTTGAGAGAGCGCCATTCTGGCTTTTCAAGCACATTTGAGTCCTCTAAAGGGAGGGTGTGGAATGTAAGCTCTGTTTTAAGAGTTTCCTCTGCCTCAGTCAGTGCTCTGTCTGTGCTTCCAGTCAACACAACATCCTCATTTTCAATGCTGTAGACTGCACTGATTCCCTTGGATATGAACTGGTTTTCTGACATCTCCTCACAGTCCACTGATCTCAGGAACTCCTGTAATGAAGGGTCCATGTTCAGAATCTTCTGTCTCATATTCATTCTCCTCTCAAGGATCCAATTTTTGATGTCAACAACTTCCACAGGAAGGCCATGCAATGTTAACTGGTTGGTGTCTTTTTTGTATGTGAGCTTCAGCTCTGGGTATTTAGCTGCAGCATTATGTTGAAGTCCTTCCTGCAGAAGAAATGAGAACATGGCAGGGGGCATCTCAATGCTGTCTGAGACACTGTTCTGGTCTCTTTCCAATTGATTTAATGCTCTCTGGAAAATATCTTCCACAATTGGCTTCAGCAGATTAATGTCCTCAGCGACTCCTGCCACTGTCAGAACACTGTCATCCAACCTCATGACAGCTTTGTCTTCCACAGCTGACCGAATGTCTTTCTCTACTGCAGACCAAACAGAGGGGATCACTGGATGGTCGAAAACAGCATACTTAGAGATTATATTTTTAAAGCCATCTGTGGCGTTTTGCCTCCAGTCGTCTATGTGCTTCTTGGTTATACCCTTCTGTTTCAGCAGCGTGGGAAGAGGACTGAGCTGGACTTCAGCTTTGTCCATGTTCACCTGGCAGAACAATGAGTCCATCTCTTGACAGATGGAAGATATTAGCCCCTTGTTATTTAGGAATTCTCTGATAGCAGGATGGATCTTCTCTGTGAAAGGTTTGGGCAGCATCCATGTTGGTCTGTCTTTGCCATATAAGGCGGTACCCAAAGACATGCAATATGGGTAGACATTGACTGCAGTATCACTAATACAGTGTTCTTTCCCCAGAATATTTTGCATGGCTGAAAAAGATGACACACATGTAAAGTTGTATGCAAAAGTCTGGCCAAATTATATATTTTTATTGATTCTTGATGTGAAAAGAAGAAAACACAACCTCTGAAGTGAACTATCAAAAAATTACATTTTTACTGAAAGTGTTTGCGCATGGTTAGTTGATATTTGATAAACGTAAGAAATGGAAAAAAAATGAAATAGTAATTGTGGTATGTGCAAATATGTGGATACCCTACTATGGTAATACTTAGCAGCACCTCTTTGGCAGATATTACAGCTTGCAAGAGCTTTTTGTAGCCAGCTTGGACTCATTTTTTTATTCTTGTATTTGTGAGTTCAGACCATGCCTTCAACATGGTGGTAGTATGAGAAAAACTGATTGAGGGACTCTGAGAACTTGTGCTGGAGTTCTGGGCAGCTTCTGCCCATAGCAGCTGCCCACTGGCCAGAACCCCAAAAACTCCAGGATGAACTCAGAAACTGTCCAGAAATCTGTTTTTCAAGAGCTGATTCTGAAGTGACAACACTGTAGCAGCCTGGGGGAGAACTTGGTATGACTTTATGCCAGTGGAATATGGAGGAGCTGGATTTAGAATCAGGTTGGTCAGACAGTCTAGCATTTGGGTATCTGAGGCATCGTATGGTTAGGTAGAGAAGTTTAGCCAAGGCAGAAAAGAGGTCTAGTTACATTGGTCCATTGTATGGTGCTTGGAGTAGTTTTGCTATCAAGGTTGCAATATGACAAGAAAAATTGAGGAGATTAATTTGATTCAGTGTGACATAGTTAACAGACATCCAGGTCTGAACCCCTGATGAGCAAGCCAAGGGCAAAAAGTGGCAAGGAAAAACTCTCACTGAGGAAGAAACCTTGAGAGGAACCAGGACTCTGGTCGACACCAGATTGTGAAGATTGTGTTAAACATGGCAGGCAAAGGGGTTGGATGAGAGTAAAGCAGATTATTTCCTCCTGAATGAAATGAACATGGAGCAGGAATTGGAAGGTAGTTAGTCCACGTGATGATGTGATGACAGAGGCAGCTGGATGATGCTCTGGTCACTGCAGGAGCTAGTTTGGCATGGAAAAATCCTGTTGGCAACAGCATGGCTCTTCAATTATGACACTGGATAAGAATTACTTGTTTGGAATTTAAGCCCCGCAAAAGGCCAGTGGTGGAGAAAGGACATGGCTCACAGGGACTGAGAGCAGAATGGGATAAGAAAGTGAAGGCAACAGCAGAAGGGAATTCAAATCAGCAGTGGCCAAAGAACGGACAAAATAACTAGGAAAGCAGGGTGTTACATGCAGCATCTTCACAAACCAACCAATAATAGTGCAGATGGAAAAATGAAGAAATGGAACCAAGTAAGATGGAGCTGATCCAAGGTAGAGCTGATCTGACATAGAGCCGAGCTGAATCAGAAATGAGTTGCAGAGCTGAGGAACGCATGGGCTGATCTGAGATGGAGTCGATTTGAGATGGAGATGAGTGGAGTCAGAAATGAGTTGCAGAGCTCATTGTACTGGAGCTGATCCAAGATCTGAGACTGATCAGCGTTAAGTCAGAAACAAGTCGTAGAGCTAAGTTTCGCAGGAGCTGATGGAGCTGAGACGATGTCGAGTGGAGTCAGAAATGAGTTGCAGAGATAAGGCACATTGGAACTGATCTGAGATGGAGCCTATCTGAAATGAAGCCAAGCGGAATCAGAAATGAGTTGCAGAGCTGAGTCAGAAATGAGTCGCAATGCTGATTGTACTGGAGCTGATCTGAGATGGACCAAAGGTGAGTCAAAAATGAGTTGCACAGCTGATCCAGTATGGAACAGAATTGACTCAGAAACTAGTTGCAGAGCTGATTGCACTGGAGCAGATCAGAGATGGAGCTGATCCAACAGCTGATCCAACAGCTGATCCAATATGGAGCAGAGCTGAGTCAGACATGAGTTGCAGAGCTAATTATATTGGACCTGATCTGATATGAAACAGAGTTGAGGCAGAAATAAGTTGCAGAGCTGAGTTGTGTTGTAGCCAATCTGAGATGGAGCCGAGTGGAGCCAGGAGTTGCAGAGTTGAGACACATTGGAGCTGAACCAAAAAGGAGTTGAATTTGAGATGGAGCTGAGCTGAGATGGAGCCATGTAGAGTCAGAAGGAATTGCAGAGCTTGGTTGCAGGAGCTGATCTGAGATGGAGCTGGGCTGAGATTGAGCTCAGACCGGATGGCGCTGAGACGGGATTGAGGTCTGAGGTAGATGGATGAAAGGGGGAGGCAAGATTGAAAGGGTGAGGCGTGGATGCGGGATGAAAGGGGTGAGATAGAGAGAGAGGAAGAGAGGAAGAGAGAGGGGCCCTGCATGTTTAAGATCTATCCACAGATTTTAAATGATTTTCAACTTTGGGGACTGTAACGTTATTCCAAAATCTTCAACTGGTGTATTTTTATTTTTTTTTTCTGTAAGTTGTTCCTGATGGTGTTTAATGCAAGTTATTCACCTTGATGAAGACTCATGCCAAAACACATTGAGAGACTTGTCCACAGCCATACTACAATAAAAACTTAATGAAGAGTGCCATACACGTTCACTTTTTCTCTGGATTTTAATTTATGTTTTGGATCATTGTCTTCTTGTAGAAGCCAGCCCCTTTTCAGCCTCTGTTCCTTCACTGTGTCACTTTTCCTTCCAGAATTTGCTGATATTTCATGGAATCCATTCTTCTATCTACCTGTGCATTGTTTCCTGCTATTGGCTGCCACATGACCCCAAAGCATAACAGATCCGCCCCCAGGCTTAACAGTTACAATAGTGCACCACTAATGCTGTGCTTGCAAAATCTTCCTGCAGGTCCTGTTTTATCATATGGGGGTTTTGCTTTGCCTTTCTGACCAGCATACAAGTAGTTCTGAGAGTTTTCTTGGTCTTCCAGATCTTGCACTGAATTGAGTTCCTGTTAATTGCTATTTCTTAATGATAAATTGGACAGTGTACATTGCAAGCTGGTACTGCTTTGATATCTTTTATAACCCCCACCATCACCCCAACCACCCCTGCTTTGGAGACCATGGTTGGTGAGTGTCAGAGCAATGCTTGAAAAGTCAGAGATCCAGACCTAATGAGTCTGTTAAGGCTTAATGAGTTACACTCTGAGACTTTATCACTGGAAGGGTGTCTAAACTTTTGCACATGCCACAATTACTATTACAATTACAATTATTATTTTAACTATAAGTTAGTTAAGTGCTGGGTAAGGTCATCAGGCCTGTAATTGGCAGAATGTGACTGTTCCACAAAACATGGCAGCCCCTTATTATGTATTAAATATATTTACTGATAATTGAACCAGTAACTCTTCAGCTGGTCTCAATATAATTAAAAGCGGAAATGTTTTACCTTCTTGACTGTGAAAGGTGACAATGGCAGTTTGCTCTTCAGGACTTGTGATGATGTCCTCCACTTGTCCCCCCCACCTTTCAAAGTAAAGTTGTAGCAGGTCTTTATTGGCCTCACCAGGCACGTTTTCCACTTTAACACTTCTACTTTTTTCCAAAGCCCGACTCAATAGACAACGCTGCTGGAATACTGTATTACTCCTGCTCTCCATGAGGAACTTCTCAGAAACTGGCGAAAGAAAATTACTAAGTTACTTTAACAATTTAGGTAAAATAAGAGAAATTGAACATGGACAAAGCTGACGTTTCACACTGCTAGTCAAGGACATACCATTAGGGTCATTAAAGGTCACAACAGCACTCTTTAATTCCCTTATGGACTCCAGGGAAAACTCTTTTTCAGAAAGACCACTGACGTTCTCCACTAAAAGCACAAGAGCTTCTCTGGAAAATGTCTGTGGCACATTCTCCAGGACCACAGCACTGGACTTGGGACATTCTTCAGGTGGGTCCCTCTGACTCTCATCAGGTTCAACTGGAGGCAAAACCAGAGGAAAGAAGAACACTAAGAACACTGTCTTGCATGACACAGGGCAAATGTTTTCCACTGATCTCTACCGATGGATAAAATAAAAGTCTCACCATATAGTTGTACACTGACTGGCAGCCTGCATAGACTGTGATCAGTTCTGTCCAGAATTCTCTGTACAGCTGAAATGTGGAGACAAACTGATGTTATATGTTTAATACAAGAGAGAAAAATGATACATGATTTATTTCTACAAGTCATGATGCAATAGAACTTTTAACGTGAGTATGAAACACCACATTGTGCTGTGTAAGACGGCATGGGATTGACATAAAATGATAACTGGGGTGTCACTAGAGGTTCATGGATAGGGGGCCTAAGCCTGTATTAGCGGGGTCTGACAGCATGGTCCCCAGGAGAATTCATCTTTTTACTATTACAGTAAGAACAGACAGAAAATGTTTGGAAAAAATAGGCTTTTTGGTCAAATTGGCACACAGTAGATCATCTCTTTGTAGCTTTTATTAAGCACAGAGTTAGTATGACTTAAGCACTATATCCATCCACTTACAACAAACACAGAGCAAGCAAAGGTCATGTAGTATTATAGTAGTATAGTGTTGTCAAAAAGTGTTGTTCATTTTTGTCTTTGGCACAAAGAACTTGATGTCTGTTTTTCCCCATAACAAGCTGAAACGTGGACTCATCTGACAACAGCACGCATTTTCCCTGTCTTTTGGACCATCTGAGATGAGCTTGGGCCCAGAGAACTCAGCGGTGTTTCTGCATAGAATTGATGTATGGTTTTCTCCTTGCATGATGCAGCGTCAGTTTTCTGAAGTAATCCCAAGACTATGTGGCTACATTTAACACAGTAGCATGATGGTTTCTTATGTTTCTCATGCAGTGCTGTCTGAGGGCTTGAAGGTCACACATATTCACCAGTGGTTTCCAGCCTTACCCTAAATGAACTGAGATTTCTCCAGATTTCCCGAATCTTTTCACCCTATTATGTCCAGTAAATGGTAAATCTTTGTAATCTTGCATTGGGAAATGTTCCTTTGGAATTGCTCTCTTAATTCTTTATGAAGTTTGGCACAAAATGGTGAGCCACAACCAGTCTTTGGTGGATGTTCCTTTTATACCCAGTCATGATATCCTCACCTGCTACTAATTAACCTGCTTATTGTGGAATGTTTTAAAATGGTGTATCTTGAATATTCTATAAAGTTTTCAACGTTTAGCTGAATGGTTAAGTTTCTCCCTCTTCATGTAGGAGAGCAGGGCTCAAACTCAATGTCAGGAAGCACTTGCTGGGCTTCTAACACTCACCCCACCAATGTTTCCAGCAGTGTAATCATGTCACTTTGGTGCCACACTTTAACAGTGTGTTTAACCCGGAAACTGATATTGAAATAACAACAAAAAAATCTATTAAGTAGCCACAGTGCTAGGTCATGTTCACTATTAGACTGAAGTCAAAACTGTTATACTGTATAACTCTTTCTGGACCATAAACAACTTATAGATAAACAACTTCAGGCTAACATAAAGCATTGGAAAAACAGGAGTTTTCTTCTATTACAAGATGATATTAATTGTCACTGATTGTCACAAACTGTTCAGTTAATCTCTTAATATTAATCCAAAACAAAATCCAAAGGACTAGAGGATACTGGAAACAAAATATCGACTCAACTATGTACACAATCACATGTGTGTATTAAAGTGATCATACCATCCGGTGACCGAAAGGTGATAATAGCAGCTTGCTCCTCTGGAATTGTTCTGATTGTCTCTACACGTCCACCACAGTTCTCAAAGTACAAGTTCAGAAGGTCCTCATCAGTGACAGCATCAGCAGGTATATTGTCCACTCTCACACTTAAGGTCCTCTGCCCAGTCGGAACTGGAAGTACAAAATATATATTCAGTTCTTTATGTATCTTGATAGATATAACATTGCTTTGTAGAAGCTGTGAATTTTGGTTTGTTTGTTTGTTATTTTTGTTGTTTTTTTTGTGTGTTTTGTGGGTGCAAACCTGGTTGCAGGACATCAGCTGCCACATCGCTTTCTGTTTCAGCCTAATTAAAAAAACACACACACACATTGACTGAACCTGATCAACGGTCGCTGTGGTATTCAACGCAAAAATACTTCAGAGTCATAACAGATAACGGCCATCCCTCCAGGCCATACTGTATGGGAGGGGTTGTGTTTGTACAAACGGTCGGTCTTTCAGTGAATCTGAGCATCAGGAAGATCCCACAGAAACTCAGCTAAACAACAATCTGGTGCCTTTCACTTTAAAACTGCAAAGACAATCACCTGTTCAAAATGAACAAAATTAATTCACTCAAAAGTTATTCACTCTGTATTATGAACCCAGCAGGTTTTGTCAAGATGGTTGTTGGCAAGGTGCTTCTGCTTCTTACAGTCACAAAATACAGACAGATTTGTCCACTTACTGCTCCACTGGGCTCTTCTGTCTGTCTCTCTTCATCACCAGGTTTGAATACCTTCAGTTTCACCAGCTGATTCTCAATAGATATGGAGTGATCTCTTTTGGCCAGAACTTGGTCTCGGGCTAGCAATGAAGGATAGTAGTTTAAAATACTGGGTTACTGCCATTGAGTCAAACTATAGGAGAACATCCATCAGGAACATCTAAACATTCATATTTGTGCGCTTCTGGACTGGACCCTGGACATACAGGCCCATATAATGACATAGTGACCTGATTGAAATGCAGTTTTCAATGGACAACATGAGTTTACTCACTTTCAGCAGATCTGAAGAGAACAGTAGCTGCGCTGCTCTCCTCGGGGAACCTCACCACGCAGTCCCCACCCTGAGACTTCTTCTTACTCTGAAAGTAAATCTGGAGTTTGGCTGTGAGGGTCTTGTTGGAGGTTGAGGGCCAGCGAGCCTCCACAGTGAGGGGGTGAGGATGGTCCTCCATTGCGCTCCTCCTGGATCAGCTCTATGAGAGAAACTCCTGAAGAGCTGCTCAGCTCTGATTCATGTGGATTTGTTTCATTTCCTTTTATCCTGAATGAGGAAAACCCGTCACATAGCCTGGAGCAAAATCATATATGCGTACTGAAACCCGATGGGTGGGCAGGCTCCTTGAACAAGTCGTGTGTGAGATTTTTTTTTTACTAGCCCTGTGGAAACGAAACCAATCAGTCAGATCACCGATGGTATCTTAAGTTAACAGAGCAGAATAACTTCACTGCAAAAAATGGCATCTTGTCAAGTGAAATGATCTTAAACTTAGTCGATATATCTAACATTCCCATTTCGAGATCGTCGTGCACTTATTATAAGATTATCTAGATTATTTTCAGAAATGTTTACTTGTTTTAGGTCATTTTATTGAGTAAAATTATTTCACTATACTGGCAGATAACGTTGCTGGTTTCAAGCACATTTCTAGAAACAAGCGAAATTATCTGCCACTATAGTGAGATAATTTTACTTTCTAAAATTACTTAAAACAAGTACAAAATGTCTAGAAATAAGCTAAATAATCTTACTTTAAGCTTACAACAATCTACAGGAGAAATATTAGATTTTTTGACTCTATTTAAGATAATTTTACTTGACAAGATACCATTTTTTGTATTTTTTCGAATGAGATGTAAACGGGACAGTAGACTGGTGAAAAATGCAACAGTGGAAAAAATTATGTTTAAAAACATTGAGGATTAGGATTAGGTTTTGGGTCAAGGTTAAGGTTAGGTTAGGATTAGGACCAGGGTGAGGATTAGGTGTTGGGTGAGGTTGGTTAGGTTAGGTTTTTGCGTTATGGAAGTAACATATTTACAACACATCTACTTAATGTAAGTAATGTATCAACAGAACATCTACAAGAGATTTACTTCAGTGTATTCAGATACGTCACTACTGCTACTTCACTGATACGTTTTTGATATGTTACTTATAATCTGTTAAGAGTTTATTAACCATCTACAAAGGTCCACTCCAAATAAGGTGTTACTAATAGCTCTTGTTAGGTTATTTTTAACTTTCCGTTGTACCACCAACTAACTATAACTGATATGATATAGATTTTCAGGGACAGTGATTTATAAATCTGACTTGTATTCAAACAAAAACAGAACAATAACCAGACACAAACAAGACTAACAAGACTTGGAAATACCAGCTAGAAATGTTATGGTGTGTAGCGCAGGTTCAAAGCGTGTCAGGAAGGTTGGGCACTTTCAGTTAAGGCTCTGTATCAATGCTGGTATTGTTTTCCTCACATGACATTATTGATGATGAGTCAAAGTCTCATTTAGGGGTTGTTTTGAAAGCAGGTTCAGTTTTGGCAGGATACACTGAAAAAATACTGCACTGACTTTATTTAACCTCTTAAAATATCAGTCTTATTATAAACTAAGGCTTATTCTTCAGTAACCACACGGACTTCAATGCAAAATTATTATTCTTAGGTTATAGAAGTTTGTAATAAAACTTTGGGCCTGCTGGCGGGCCTGGCCATTTAAGGGGTTAATTCCAACATGTATATTGGTTCCACTTAATAGGATTCATTACATCAACTGAATTCTAGCCAAAAGTGCGAACATATTTTATTCATGTGGAACCAAATTTCAATGAAGTGATCACACTTTTTGAGTGTATGTAAAGTCACAACACCCTTGATAACACCTTTGCCAGTTGATTACTGAAAAAACTGCTTTTCCTGATAGAAACACTTAAATTATCTTCATTATTTTCAGTGCAAAAACATTGCAAAAGAAATATTTCAACATTCTGTAAAAATGTATAAAGTGCAAACAAATTATGTAAACAAATCTAGAAAAACAACTCATTGGCCGGCAGGAAGAGGTCATCTGATATGTACATCTTATACACCGATCAGACATAACATTATGACCACCTCCTTGTTTCTACGTTCATTGTCCATTTTATCAGCTCCACTTACTATATAGGTGCACTTTGTAGTTCTACAGTTACAGACTGTAGTCCATCTGTTTCTCTGATACTTTGTTAGCCCCCTTTTACCCTGTTCTTCAGTGGTCAGGACCCCCATGGACCCTCACAGAGCAGGCACTGTTTGGGTGGTGGATCATTCTCAGCACTGCAGTAACACTGACGTGGTGGTGGTGTGTTAGTGTGTGTTGTGCTGGTACGAGTGGATCAGACACAGCAGTGCTGCTGGAGTTTTTGGATGGAGACAATCAGAGGAATCATAAAGATGCCATTAATAAGCCTGAAGACCCAAACAGAAGACAGAGAAGAGAAACACTGTGTATATTATTGCCAGGACTCAACAAAAATAGCATATTATATATATATATATATATACATATATGTGTGTGTGTGTGTGTGTGTGTGTGTGTGTGTGTGTGTGTGTGTGTGAAACAGAGTTCCTAAGCCTTCCACCAGACACATATACACACTTAAAAATGATGGTTCTTCAAGAGTTCTTTAGGAATCATGACCACTCAAAGAACCCTTAGAATTAACAGGCTCTTTGCATCGTTAGATGGTTCTTCAGATTAATGGAGAATGTGCTGTAGGTGGTTCTATATAGAATATTTTTGAAAATGGTTCTGTATAGCATCAAAAGAGTTCTTCTATCGTTACGATGTCAAGCTTGTAATGATAGAAGAACCCTTTTTGGTGCCTTTTTTCAAAAAAGGTTCTATACAGAACCATCTACAGCACATTCTCCATCAATCAGAAGAACCCTTTCACAATGCAAAGAACCCTTTAATTATACAAGGGTTCTTTGAGTGTTCATTGTTCTGTATAGAACTTTTTTTTTTTAATAAAGAACCCTTGAAGAACCATCTTTTTTAAGTGTCTAGGATTGTGACAAAAACACAAATCTAGTTTGTCTAATCAATTACTCATTAAATTAAATAAATCCTTGCAGTAGCTGGGGGTCAGTAAATATCACTATCTTTTTTAAAAAATGAGTGCATTTGTGTTTATTTGCATTTATTCTAATGTGATATATTGTTTATACTGGCAAAACACATTAACTGTTCAGATAAAGTTTCTTGCACTGTATATAGTATAATGAACTGCACTGTAAATAGTGTAAAAAACAATACACACACATATGAAAACTGCCACCCCCACAAACCCTTGAAGCAGTATCTGTTCAGGCATGAGTGAGAGATTCTCTGTTAGCTCGATTTTAATTAGTTCTTTGCCATAGTAGAAAAACAGAGGAGCAACAGAAAGTGAGAGCACTGAATACAGCGCAGGGCACGATGAGTCACCAGGATAAAAACAGACTTTCAGCTGTGCTAGAAAACCCCTGGAAGAACCGGCAGTACTTCGAAGATCATGAAACTACCTCAAAAAAAAAGATGACTAAGGGTTTTAGTTACCATCAGCCATTTTCTTTGCCAAGCACTGTTGTGTGGACTGGGAACTATTCGGTGTTATGATCCAAATGAACATATAACAATTCATACATTAATGAATGTTTATTATTATCATTTTCTATTGTCAGTCAAGTTAGAATATATAATGAAAATGATCAATATATATTGATATCTTCGTTATTTAAAACTATGGATACTATAGGCATTTTTCAGTAACATTCAGTATATCTATTTTTCATTTAGGCAAAATTAATTTTATTTATTTATTTATTTATTTATTTCGCAGTGAATGCTACAACATATTTCATTAACCTGCAGAGGTCAATCCAGTAGTGTAAGTGTTGGCTATACTCCTGAAAAAAAAAATCATGAGTAAATGGAAACACAGCCGAGCAAAGCTACATTTTTAAAGTGAGTATATAAGCAAAAAATGCTCTTTCTGCTAGGATACATGCTAAAACCGTTAGGAATTAGCTACATAGCTAACATATAGGCCTAAACATTACTCTGCTGCCCTCTTAGCATGTTGGAGCTGTTTTTGTGTCCTAATTTACTGTTTTATTTAAATTTATTTGCTTCAACTCAACACACTCAATTGAAATCTAATGACTTTTATGGCAGTCAGCTTTTATAGCAAAATATGTGATTATTTGATCATGTCAAATATTGCGATTATTTAAAAAAAATACAATTAGGCCACCATGTAATAAATGTGCCAGGCCCAGCCCTGACCTGATCAGATTGTTCCTCAACCATGCTTCAAAAAAACAGCAATACAAGCAAATGGCCAGCAGATGGCAGCAGAACTTTGAGTGTTGGTCACGGGAGTGTTCAAATTCTTGTTTACTTCTCGAGATCACCTGTGACAGTTAACATAAACCACACATTCTTAACCTGAGAAGAAACCTGAAAAAAAGTCTGTAATAACAGAAAACATCCTTTGTCTGAAACTGAAGTGGTTGTTCATAATTTCATAATTCCTAATCTCATAATTCATTTAGAAAATGCTGAAAGCTTTGTGTATATGTGTATATGTTTGTGTGTGTGTGCGTGTGTGCGTGTGTGTGTGCGTGTGTGCGTGTGTGTGTGCGTGTGTGTGTGTGTGTGTGTGTGTGCGTGTGTGTGTGTGTGTGTGTATACGCTGTGTTTCCTGAACTACAACATCAGATCTGACCCTGAACAGTATCTTTGTACCCAAACAGTGCAGAGACTTTATAAAAACATCAAATTGGTATCTTCATTTTTACACATTCATATGATCACTGTTGAGGAAGTCATCAAGTATATGAAATACAATATAAAAATATAAAGTGTAATAGGATTTTAGAGACACTGAAACCAGAAAAGGGTAAATTTTGACTGGACCATGATAGGAGGGTTTGATGATAATAAAGGCAAACATCATTACTGAGTTTACTGCTGGGCGATAAAACAATAACGATAATTATGCGATATAACTTTCCTCGATAAGAAATATAAGCAATGTTTGATAAATGTTCAATATAATAGAGCATTCTCAGACTACTGCCTTCCAGCGACAGCCCTGGTGGCGTTTTCTACTGCAAGGAAAGCAGCACTACTCTGCTGTCGCCACAAGAGGGCGCACTTCTGAGTTTTTCGACGTGATTAGAGAGGGAGTTGCCAAATAAACTTTAGCAACGTCTGAAATGTGGAGTTATGTATTCCCTATTGAGTGGAGCGACCGGCGATCTGTTCTCCTGTTACCAAGTGTGAGTGATGAGATCAGTGGTGTAACTGAACTGACCTTCAGTGAACTTACCTCTTTCCGTACATCCTAACCAGCTTTAGCAGCGTTAAATCAAGTCTGCTCCTCACAACTACAGCGCAGTTACAGCGCTCAGTCATGTTTTAATATTAGTGCATTCCCGAGCAACAAAAGTGAAAGAAAGAGCCCTGATTTAAACAGAATTAAACTGAGGATGCTGTATGTGTGGCACTGGAGAGCGGGAGAGTGTGAGCTCCCCAGGCTAGCTGTTTTTAGCAGCTGGCTAACTTGAAGCAGTGCTCTGTCACTCACACAGCCTGGCGAATTGATAATATTGTAGATCAAACACGACAAAAAAGCACCAATTTCAGTTTAATGTACCTAAAAGGAGGACTTTGTTTGTCTGCTACTGTTCGTATTAAGCCAACATTGTTGAGAAACTAAACAGTTTAGCATTTGTAACTGGATAGCCTGGCACTCGTCACCAGGCAGCTAAAATAATCTGTTTTCTTTCTTAAATTATGACTATTACAAAAATTGCGGCTGTGCTTTTCCAGCTGGTAAAAACAGCTGACCAGAAACTTTCGCCCACTCTCCCATGACAGATGACAGACTTTTTGGCGAGTGTTTATGTTCTGACCATAAAGTATAGTTTAAAACAGCAATTAACCACTCAGGAGCAAAAATCAGCCTTCAAACTTGAAAGAAATAACGATTTGATATGGATCATGATATGTTTTGATATCGACTGATATGAAATTTTTTTGCATGATAACATTTTTGGCCATATCGCCCAGCCCTAACTGGAATGCAACATCTCTCCTCTCTCTAGAATTAATAGTTTCCTGGTTTAGCATTACAGTATATTGTCGTAAATCAGTTATAATGTGCTTTAGTGTAGTTGTTTTGTAAATTTAGCATATCGCTGCTGTCAGAACAAAACCTCGTATCTCCATTTTTGTCGTTTTTCAGTTTTTCACATACTTTGAAAATGCCCACTGCCCTTCACATTGTGTATAAATTTCACGATGAACTGCCCAAAAGAAATGGCCCAAAATTATTTGGAACAAATTCTGGTTCCATTGATTTACATTAAAAGTAAAGTAGGTTTTTTCTTTCTCCTGTAAAGTTACCATTTTGGAGATACAAGGTTTTGTTCTGACAGCAGCGATATCTACGTGAGTAAACACTGACAGTTGAACTGTATTTTCTGTTATTTTGGAACATTGGAAATGTGAATATTATTGAAGGCCAACAAGAGCCTGCCTGGACGGTCCACTGGAGCTCTAAACAGACATATTTCACTATGAAAAAACATAGATCTATAATAACCTGTTTATTTTTTCAAGGATGCAGTGACATAAGGAGGAATAACTTGATGTCAGTCATGAATATTGCATATAATATTGCAATTTTTCTGCATTAATAACCATTGCAATCTGTAGCACACAATATTGCACCATAAACATAGTAGGTCATAATTTATAAACATTAGAAAAATATTTTATTAGTGAAATATTTTAAATGTATTTGTACCATTATTTATTAATATTTACTGATCTATTGAAATGCACCCACACCTAATAGCTCTATTCATTACAGCAACTAATTAAACATAATCCATAAGAGTGAGTAACATAACAGAAAATTGAAATATGGATAATCATAATCAGTCCACAACTGCTGATTAAAAATATCCTACTGAAAGGTGATCAGGTATTCCGGATACGCCTGCACGTCATGGAAGATCACAAACATCTTCGGGGTTTGTTGATTATCAGTGACGCTGTCATACAAATCTGTGGCTGTAGAGCTCTTGGCTGGGGGAGAAATTAGACCACCCTTTCCTGTGGTGTAGTCACCGACCAACACTCTGGCCAGATACATGCGCTTATGACCTTGCTGGTCAGGCTGGGAGTATCCTTGGGCTGAGTAACTTGGGTCAACAGCAAAATACACGCCATTCCCATACATGGCACCTTCAGACAAAACAAGAGAAGACAAATGATATATTGCAGAAACATATTTACATTAACAAACTCTGACAAATGTGTGGATGATGATATTATTGCTGTGTTATACCATGTGTGCCAGCATAGCTCCTATTGAAGCCCCGGTGGTCGATCTTGTCTATGTTCTGAGCGCCGGTGCCGTGGAACAGCCTCTTCTCATTGTTCCTGTGCCTGTTCTTTTCTTCAAAATGCTTCTTCTGGATCATGTAGTTCCTCCACAGAGTGCTGTTCTGGACCCTCTCGATCTAAGAATATCACACAATACAAAAAAGTCTGAATTTCATCAGCTTTGTGTTGTTCTACGTGATGCTCAGTCAGTCGTTCAATCAATGGTTTGTGAAACCTTAGTCCAGACTGCCACTAAAACTGATGTTCTAAAAAACATAAAACTGTGACCACCCTAGTAAGGGGTGTAGTTACAGGGAGGAGGAGGAGGCCTCACTTGAAAGCCAGCCCTCGAGATTTCTAACTGCTCATAAAAAAAAAACATGCTCATGAAAATGTAATCAAATGTAATTTTTCTTGTGATCTTATAATACAGGGGGAATCCAAAGGTGCTGAGCTGTTGCCTCTTCATGCCTTTTATCCAATTTAAGCTAAATCTAAGCATCTATAAACACATTCATAACATGTTATAATTCATTCATAAGGCATTATAAACATGGCTATAAATATTTATAAAAATGCATCATACGTTATAGCCATGTTTATTATGCATTATGAATTGTTAACATAATACATTATAAGTACTGTTCATAACAAATTATAAGAGCTCATAAGTAAAGTGAAGCGTACTGTACTAAAGCCTCCTCCAGTGTTCAGAGTGAGGCTTCAAGTTGAAGTATTTACTGAAGGATTTACTGAAACACTAAAACATTCACAGTAAAGCACATTACAGGCTTCAAATGTCAGAGTTTAAACTAGAGCTGCCATCAGTGTTTTACCCAATGTGGGAAAGGCAATGTACACCACTGTTAGCTTGGCACTAACTTAACACTGCATATCCAATAGAATGCTAGCAGAAATTAGCATCACTGTAGTGTAGTTGTTTTACAGAGTGAAGGGTTCTAGTGCTTGACGTTAGAACCAGTGAGGGAACAAATTACAATTACAGCACTTTACTTTCTCATCTCTCCCTCTCCAGGCCGTCACTTCACAGTGACTTCACCCTCAGTGTGATGTCAGAGGGGGTTCAGGGGAGGGGCTTGTGGGTACTTGGTTTGCTGTGATGTAATATAGTGTTTAAAGTGAGAGCTCTGGGTAAAAAAGCACATTGTAGCAGTAATTCTAGGCTGGACAGCCTGTTTGGAGCATCTGAATATTCAGGACTGAAGCCACGTAGATACAGCCCTAACAGCACCAGCACTGAGAAATAAAATACTGGAAATCTCAGGGTGTAAATAAGCTTTGTATTTGTCTTTACTTTACGCTCTCCAAGCTGGGACTGACTTCTTTGGCACTGACAGTATAACATGCTATTAACACTATTTATAATGCATTATATTAACAATTCATAATGTATAATGAACATGGCTATGAAGCGTAATTCAGTGTAATTCCTTTTTATATATATTTATAACCATGTTTATAATGCCGTATAAATGCATTATAACATGTTATGAATATGTTTATAGATGCTTACAAAGGTGACATTCATAGCAAGTGTTACCAAAGAAGTGGCTAGCAAAGCGCTATTTTGATCATCACCAGCCTTGTAAACATGTAAACACAGCGTCACTCTGCTCCACTGATTGTCCAAATTGTGGAAACTTAGCAGAGCTGTGCTAGCTAGCAAGCTAGGTAAACAGTTGACCCTGATACACTCCAAGTCCTTTAAAAGGTGGAACTTTCAGTTGTTATGGTAATAAGGCAGTTGCTAAGGTAGTGTCTTAGCAGAAATCATGGCTTCCCACCCAGTGTGTGAAATAGTCCCATGTTAGTCCCACGTCTCATGTTGGCTGGCTGCTAACTCACTCGATATAGCGGTGCCAATGCGCTCTTCCTCACATTAACTGAGGTCTTCCTCATCTCCTCTTCTCGTCTTCATTTTGAGAAATGAGTAACGATTCAGTCTTTCCAACAAACTCTTGGGAAACTGGGTGAGTTTTGCAAATATTTTGCACATTGTAAAGTTTTTCAGAGGTATCCAGGCATAGTTGCAGTTGCTAGGCTATGGACCAACTGGGTGAGCCAGTCTTCTATTTAGTTAAGAACACCAAAGACAGAAGCTGGTTGTGGGTGAAGCAGCTAACAATGACCTTGACCTCATTTTTCCCCTAATGGACATCATAATTTTCAGGGACCATTCTGGGGGTCTAAGAGGTTAATTAGGAGGACCCCTAATTTTGCACCCTCCTCCCACTACACTATAACACAAGGTCAGAATCGTATGTTGTTCAAAAAATATATATATATTTGTTTTTTGAGTTATAGAAGCTACAGTGACATAGGCTAGTGGCCTCACTATAGCAATATCTCTTGAAAATAATACTTCCTAGGTTCCCAGCTGCACCCAGACCTTTGGTTACACCACTGGTTCTGGGCTCTATAATCAGCAGTCACAGTCCAAAGGTGATGAATTTGACCTTACACTACAAAACTGCTTAAAAAATGAAGAATGCAGTGGAAATAAAGCATGTAGAAAGAAACAGGACTGAAACAAGAGTGAATGGTGTGATAACATAAGCTAGCAAGCTAATATTAGCTAGCAAAATAACGTTAGCTGTGCTATTGTAGTCTATCCTGGCCTGTTTGTTATCTGTAGCTTTGTTAGCTATAAATTTAGCTAGCTACATCACTAGCTAGCCAAAACAACACTTAGATAACTACTGGGGCTGAGCTGTGAGTGTCGTTTGGCTCTAGTTTACAAAAGTGCTGCATTTCATAACAACATTAAATAAAAAAAAACATTAAGCTGCTGTATGAGAGATTTATATCAAGGGTAAAATACATGCATAGAGTGGCCTTTTTTAGTAATCTTACGTTAAGAATTTTATTGGCCAGCCCAGTTGTCCTGAACTCATTCTCCACATTCGTGTATTCTGGGCTGCCTTGTTGAATTTGGACCCGCTTAACGAACTCGCCGTCTTTCATTTTCTCCCAGTGCCTGGGCAGAGCCACTGAGGAGAAAAAAAAATCAAAGACACACCAGTGAATGTGTAGATCAACTGAAATACACTCTTAAAATAAAGGTGGCAAAAAAAGGTTATTTGAAGCAATTTCTAAGAAGAACTGCTTTAATCAAAAAAGTTTAAAGAACACTTCTTCAGGAAAACAAAAGAGGTTCTTCTATGGCATTGTTCAAGGTAAAAAGAACTCCTCTTCAATTCCTTGAGACCACCGGTGGTTCCAAAATGCACTTCTTCATATTCTTCATAACTTTCATATTTCATAAGCTACATTCTAAAGGTGGGGGTCGTATGAGAGCTGTAACTGTCTTCTCTCCAGTCAAATAGATGGGTGATGTCATTTTAAACTCTTATAATAAAAGAAGCTGAACTCACATTTTTTTTTTGAAAGTCGCCTCATTTTTCCACAAATCTGGGCTATAAACTATAAACAGATGGCGTCTCTTCAGTGATATGCTCTGTACAAATTATTTTTAGAAAAAAATACAAAGAGCATCTAAGATTTTTGGCTTTCAGCAGTAAATTGTAAGCATATAGCAATATGCGTAGATCATAAAACACACCTTCTCATTTGAGAAAAGTGTGTGAAAAGTTCATTTGAGGGGAACTTTTACAAATAAAAAAATAAATAAATAAAATAAAAATGTACATTTATTTCACACAGTTACTGAATAATTTGCCTTACGATTTGGTCACATAAATTCAGATGGACAAACCAAAATATACCCTGTAGATTAAGAGGTTAAGAAATAACCTGAGATTTTTGTTTGTTTGTTTGTTTTTCTTTTACTGAAATTAATTATCTCGATCATAATCTTGAGATACTTTTCTTGGGATAATTTTCTCAAAATAATTATGTCAAGAAATGTAGGGAAAACCTAAGTGCATTACACACTCTGCCCTGTAGATGGCCCCAATACGCCATTCAGACAGTATTCCACTTCCCAGGCCCATTGTTCAGTTTTCAGTTGTTTCCTTGACTGGAACTGTTCTAATGGAAACTGACCACTATATAGCACCTTGGTCTCAAATACAAAGACATTGTTTCAATTCTTGCCAACAGCCATCATTATATTGTATCTGAGCCCCATTTGAAACGTATTTTAAAACTCAACAGACTGTTTCATATGAAGGGTTACACAAATATATACGAGATATTGTTTTTCATTCAAGAGCAGCTACAGCTCTTGAAAAAAAAATATTAACCCCTCAATATCCCAGGCTCATCACAGGCTAATACTAAGGCTTAATATTCAGTAACTACAGGGACTTCAGTGCAAACTAGCTGAGCTATTCTTAGGTTATAGAAGTGTGTATTAAAATATTGGGCCATGTAGGGGTTAATGGCTACAGGTGGATGCATGCCAAGTGTTTAGGGAATATGCTGCATGTCAAAAAAAGAGCACTTCCAGAACATTATCTTGAGATAATAATCCCAAGATGATAAATTTGAGAAAAGGAAGTTTCTTTTTCACCCATGTCTTTTCGAGTTCTCTGTACAATGGCACATTTATTTTTAAGGGTGTAATGACAGAGATTATTCAGTAATCAAATAGATTAGATATTGTAATCAATAACCAAATAGGTAGTATTGGCTAACAGAGAATATTGATTCTCTCACAAAGTGTAGGTCTTAGTCTGTCTGCACAGGAGATTCTGGACACTACGAAGCCCCTGGGTTCACAGACAGGCCTGTGGGTACCTACTGACCCAGTGAAGAGGTGCAAGGTGACCTTGAAAGGTAGAGCAGGCTGGTAAAAACCTGTTGAAACCAGTTTTTAGGAGTGAGGTCATCATGCAATGGCCAAACTGATGGACAAAAAGATGCACCTATTATAGAATGAGCTAATATTAAAATTTGAGAAGGCAGGGGCATATCAGATTATCCCAGATAAATGGTATAAACTGTTGTTTGGAACACTGTATTTGCGCAGTTGGGTCTCGAGACCGTGAACCACCTGATGCTGAAATAAAGAAGAAGCCTTTTTCCCTCTTCCACAAACTCAGCGTCTGAAGACTCTTTCCTTTTTGACATATTTTGAGAACTTTTGACTTAAAACAGTTATTAGTGAAAGTGTTTAGCTGGTTTTAAAAGATTTCTTTTTTATTCATAATATTATGTTGGAGGCCTGGGGTTGGAGGGGACAGCCTTTGGGGCCCGACAGTACACTGCAGGAGTAATATAGATGTGCAATATAATAGAGCATATAAGCTGAAATGCAAGGTTATAGCTGAAGGTTTCATAAACCATTTGAAGCCTCTTACCTTTCTGGTCAACCCTCTTCAATTCAATCCTTCTGTTTCTTAAATAAGCCACTCTTTGGGTTAAATCAACGTCAAGCTCCTCGTTGTTGACCTTGATCTTTATGCGAGGTTGTTTTTTCCCATAGGCCTCCTCCAGGTCATAGTTAGTGTAAATATCAAAGGGTACGAGATTATTTGTCCTGTCCAGATACTGCCACTCTACCAAGCTGCTGATCATGAAGGCGTCACGTTTTCGGGCTTCGTTCCTCTCCACTTTGCGGATCATGTCCCGGATGGCGCTCTCTGCCTTGACCACGTCTCGGGTCAGGCCCTCCACGGTGATGACCGGCTCTGGACCATTCTTATCAAGCTGAATGCTGACCGTGAGCTCCCTCTGCAGGTTAGTCAGCATCTCTGCGTCCTTTCTGGTGAAACTGTTGATGGCGGAGTCCCAAACGGATGAACTCGTGTGCTCTCTGACGATGAAGCTGTTGATCAGTTCTCTGGCTTCATTCAGGTCCTGCTGACTCTCTGCACACAGCTGAAAGACCGCCGGCTCAAACTCCTCACCCACCATCACAAAGTCCTCATGTTCAGAACGGAATTGTCGACTGGCTTCTGGACTGTTGCCCGTAATGTAGCTGGCCATAGAGCCAAATTTTTCTTTTTTCCCAGTGTCGGATAAAATAAAAAAGAAAACAGGACAAGTTAGTTACGTTTACAGGTTTATTTATACTTTTATATTTTACAGCCATGATCACAAATAGGGCTGGATTCATTTTAACGTAAGGTCATTTGTAAGGAATTGTACTGGCTGATGGGTATGGGAGACAGACTGGAAAAGGACTACTGTTACTGAGGGAGCTTCAGGTTCAGGCAATTAAAGAAGGCTGTTCGCTCCACAATTATTACTGCAGATTCATACTGGATTAAAATCACTCCACAATTATTACTGTCAGACTGTAAAACTACACACACTGCAGATTCATACTGGATTAAAATCACTCCACAATTATTACTGTCAGACTGTAAAACTACACACACTGCAGATTCATACTGGATTAAAATCACTCCACAATTATTACTGTCAGACTGTAAAACTACACACACTGCAGATTCATACTGGATTAAAATCACTCCACAATTATTACCGTCAGACTGTATAAACTACATACACTGCAGATTCATACCGGATTAAAATAGCTCCACAATTCTTACTGTCGGGAATTTTCTATTCACTAAATTTATCTACCCACCTTTCAACCAGTCCAACACAGTGGTGTCCTCCTCCACGCCCTCCTGCTGCCTCCTCAGCATGCTCTGGTGGAAATCTGACATCATTGTTGTCTGGAATATCAGGAACTTCACACTCTGTAAGTGCGACTCTTTTTTCTTCTTCACAAAGTCGATTACAGCGTCAATCATGGCATCAGCAACAGCAGAAGGACTTGCACCACCTTGGCCTGATCATTGAACATTACCATTATCAATTACCAATGACTTTTATAGCAACCATAGCTATACTTATATAGAGATTGCCTAAAAGAGGCAGAACATCAGAAAATGGCTTCGATTTCTTTCCCGGCCATTGGAACCAGGATCCTTGGCTTTCCCAAAGACCTGGTGTCCAGCATTGTGCTGAGAGAAATTCACAACTTTAGTGCCAATGTCCAGGCTCAATATCTTAAAGTAGTGACTGTGATCATGCTGTGCTGTACCTGTGCCAAGAGCTGGAAAGGCAACAGAGGAGAACTTCTGAGCCTCACACAACTTTAAAACAGAGTAAACAGCATCCTTGATGGCTGCAGGAGTGTTTCTGCCTACGATGTGGATTATGTGTCTGCATGGGAGCTGACCTCCAGAGGTCAGAATCATTTCCTTCTGTTGAAAACTTGGTGCATTCACTGTGAAAATATGAATGAAAACAATAACAAAAATGTTCATAATTTTAAAGGCTGACATAGGTTTAAAAAAAGGAATTTAATAAGAAACATAAAGGCTTTACAGACCAATCTGTGCACACTCCAGTTCCACTGCTAATCCAGCAGCATCTAAAATGGCCTTGGAGACTCCTGGATTAGACCAGGATTACACAAAAGAAGTTAAACACAAAAGTGAAAATATTAAAAAAAAAATCCAAGGTATTTTGGCAAACATTCTTGACAATGTGCGACAACACTGTTAAGTATGTACATCTGTATCTGCAGAAGAGTCGTAAAATACAAGTCAGAACACATAAGGTCTGGTGTCACATTAAAGTAAAACATTCTATACTGTACCATGGTTTTACCTGCTTTCAAAGAAAACGATTGATTGGAGGAGTTAACGATGGCATCACTTCTCTCTTTGGTGATGTCACCTGACGACACCTCGAGGGTCACATGTCCCACCTGAACTGAGTGCACTCCAAGAGTCGGAGTGGAAACCACTCCAAAAAGTCCTGGTGTATCACATCATGATATATCAAACTTTGACTTGCCCATTGTAGATTTTCTTTTTTTTTTTTTTCTCCCCAATTTAGTCGTCTCCAATTCCACCCACTAGTTAGGACTCCCCCAATCACACGATGTAATCAACGCTAGGAGGGTGAAGGCTAACACAGGCTTCCTCCGAGACCTGTGAAGCGCCACCGCTTCTTTTCGAACTGCCGCTCACGCAACGTCACTGGACAGCCGAACGTGCTCGGAGGAAAGCGCCTGACTAGCATCGCGCTGAGTGATGGGGGGAGAAGGAGGGGCCATCCTACCCACCCAGAGAGAGCGAGGCCAATTGTGCTCTCTCGAACTCCCAGCTACGGATGGCTGTAGTATCACCAGGGATCGAACTCGCGATCTCCTGATGATAGGGCCAACACTTAGACGGTTGCGCCACTCGGGAGCCTCGTATCACAAAAAAGTTACACAATTTCATCCTCACCCCAAATGTAGTCAATCTACCAGGACATGTTTGGTGTCTGAAGTTTATTATTTATTACTAGCTCTAAAAAGCTAATTTGTCACTTGCAATTTCCACCTGTTTTGGAGCTCCCTCAGTTGAACTATAACATTGATGAAATATATTTTGATGTAATTATGTCTTACAGTCTCTTACCCTATCTATTTTGTCCATCATTGCTCACTAGCAGCTCAACACAGAATCCACATAACCAAGTTTAACTGAGTTTGCTGAACAACACAAGGTTTGATGTGAGTGTGTGATGATTTAGGCATGTAGTTTGCACTGTGCTAATAAACCTTTTTCATAGTCACTGCGTCGTCACATCCAACTGTAAATAGTAGCGTTATCGAACAAAGCGGCGATGAAGGGTCGTCAGTTTTTAGTCTCCCTCAAAAATCTTCTTTCGACCTCATGGTGCAGTTATTAGTACAGCAGTTGGCATGTCTGTTAGTTCCTCCAACATGGGTGGAAATGCTAGTTTGACGTAGCTAAAGCATGTCACGCAAAATTTAAAACTGTTTGAACTTTGTATAACCCTGCTGTGCGGAGTTCCGTGTCTCAGCCCGATGAACGGAGTACGCTGCGGCAGACCACATCTCCATGACAGAGCAGCATCCGACGGCTTAACATATCCCACACAAAATCCACGTCTGAACCGTGAGGAATTTGACTCAGACAAGCAAAGCAGAGAAGGGGCAGAGTGGATCTTAATGTTCAACACCACATCACATGTCCCTAAACAGGTCTGCACTCATTGTGCTTCATTTTGAAGTCCACCAGATTTAATTCTTCCTACTCAGCCCACGTAAACATTAGCAACATTAGCAAGTGCCCTGAACACAACAACCAGCACAGAGACACGATGTTGTATTTCTCCATTACTGTAAACTAATAACTGACCTATAGTGCTGAGGAGTCTGCAAACTTCTGTGATGACCATCTCCGGGACTGTAAATGCACCAGTGAATAAATGAGCTCTCCAGTTCACTTTCACTCTCTTTTTTGATCGGTTACCTCATTAAAAGTGACACATGACGAGTGGAGCTTTTCAGCTGAAGTTAAACTTGATCGAGTGGAAGTTCAGGTGAGACTGTTTGGTTGAATTATTGGTGCATTTAGGACTGCAACAATGATTTCTGGCAATATCAACCATTATTTACATTGCAACCGGAAGCCATTCAATTGCTTTTCTGCATTAATGAACACGGAAGTGTGACAATGGTCTACTGATGTGGTACACACTTTCATTAGCTTCTGTTAGTTGTTTCATACTCTCATCGTAAAAACAAAACAGTACACTTCTGGCAAACATGGCTGACTACATTTGAGCTAAAGGGCAAATTGTGTATTATTACATTTCACCAATGAATGCTTTGAGTAAAGATAAGATGGACAGTAAAGATGGCATGACAGACTCACCAGGAGACTGTGAGGGTCTGGCAATGGGTGATTTTTTAGGTGACTGTTGAGGAATAGCATGCGCTCCTTTTGTGATGGGACCTGGCCTCCCACCTCTGAAGCTCTTTATGAAACTCTAACGGGCAAAAACAAAAATTATTACAAGCCAGAAGCATCCCCAGTAAGTTGTAAAGAGCTGTCAGGGTTTTTTCTACTACCTGTACAGTCTCGTTGTCTGAAGGGTGCACAATCACAGTCACTACTTTAAGATATTGAGGCTGGACATTGGCACTAAAGTTGTGAATTTCTCTCAGCACAATCCTGGACACCAGATCTTTGGGAAAGCCAAGGATCCCGGTTCCAATGGCCGGGAAAGAAATCGAAGCCATTTTTTGATGTTCTACCTTTTTTAGGCAATCTCTAATGATCTGTTTTAGCACCTGTTGGGATTAAAATGCATATTTTTTATTAGCCCGAAAATAAATACATTGGCTACTTTATCTGAGTGTACAGTATCAGGATGGTCACAAAGCTCTCAAAATCACCTCATCCTCTGAACCAGCTCCTCCTTTCCATGATGGACAAACAGTATGGAAGACCCTTTGACAATTTAGCTTATAGCCACTGGTAACCACCATGTCTCCATAACTTAGATTAGAATATCCACTTGCAGCCAGATTAGACCTAGCTTCTGCCTGGAGTTGAGAACCAGCAGCCTGCAGGAGCGCATTGGAGACAGCACCTTTGCTGAGGTCCACGTCTCCTGAGATAGTGTTGACAATCACATCAGACTGCAAAGGTAAATAGTAAAGATAACTGTTAACGCCTGTTGTAGAGTATATACTGTATATGCTGGTTGTTTTGCATTAAAAGGTTATGATATTTGCTCTAATGTTCACTTACAAGTGCATCTTGGATATTCCCTTGCTTCAGAATGATTCTGAGTCCCTCTTGTGTGGACTGAGTTTCAAGGGACCCTGATCGGTTGAAGTCATCATACTGTGATCTGGTCGGTTGGCTTGAGTTCTGTTCCCATGTCTGTCCTTGAATGTCGAACTCCACAGATTCATTTCTTCCATAACCATGTGGTTCATTACTCCTTGGCCCACTTTGGGCCACTTTGGGGCTGAAGGCTGCAAATTCCTTCTTAACTGCCTGAGCCATGGCATTCACAGTGTTGGCATTGAGGTCCACCAGATGAATCTGTCTTAACATGTTCATGCCACCTTGATGCTTCTGATCTTTGATGTAAGCATGCAGTTCCTTGGCAATCGTTTCAGTGCAGAGTTCAAGAGGAAAGCCAAATATTCCTGAGCTGATAGCCGGGACCGCAATGGAGGAGCACTTGTTACTCTCTGCTTGGTTCAGACTCTCCCTCACAGCCTGTCTCAGCTGCTTCACTGCAATTAACTTGTCTGAATGTGTGTAGTGGGGACCCACAGCATGCACCACGCATTTGCATGGAAGACGACCTGCTCCAGTAGTGACAGCCTTTCCAGGTGGCACTCGTCCATGTGCAACTACATATGTGTCACTCCATTCTTGTAAACTTGGTCCAGCAGCTTTCAGAAGTGCCAAAGCCACACCACCAATGTGCTTCAAGTCCTCATTGGCAGCATTGACCACAGCATCTACTTTAAACTGACAGATATCAGCCTTTCTGACCGTGATGATGACCCCACCAGGGAACTGGACCTCACAGGACAACTGTCCAAAATCTTCCACCCTGTCATTGTCATCATAATCATCTTCATCCTCTTCCAGCATGTGACTTTCCTCAAGAACGACCACAAATCTATGTTCCTTCATCATCATCAAGAACATGCTTCCCTGCTCCTGGAAGTACTTTTTAGCACCTGCTTTTTCAATCGTCAGCCTATCCGTATGGAGAGCGTCTGCAATCTTCTGAAAGATCTCCATGGCTGGTTGGACGTGAACACGCTCCCCAGACAGTCGGATCAAGGGTCGTTTGGGCTCAAAATGAACTGTCACCTCAAGTTTCTTCCAAACTGGGGACTTTTTCTCATTTATGAACTTCACCACAGCGCATGACTTGACACGAAGGACCTCTTCGATTCTTGAGTACATGTTGATGAATATCTCCAAGCTCCTGCTGACCTCCAAGACTGGTTGCTGAAAGCCAGTAACTACAACTGTGTCATTTGAGGGTTTTATAATCACAGTTTTTTTCCTGGCTAAGTTGTATGTGTCACACAGTTGATCATTGAGAGAGCGCCATTCCGGCTTTTCAAGCACACTTAAATCCTCTAAAGAGAGGGTACTGGACATAAGTACCATTTGAAGTCTCTGCTCTGCCTCAGTCAGTGATCTGTCTGTGCTTCCAGTCAACACAACATCCCCATTTTCAACTGTGCAAACTGCACTGATTCCCTTGGTTATAAACAGATCTCCTGACATCTCCTCACAGTCCACTGATCTCAGGAACTCCAATAATGAAGGGTCCATTTTCAGAATCTTCTGTTTCAGTCTCAGTCTCCTCTCAAGGATCCAATTTTTGATGTCAACAATTTCCACAGAAAGGCCACACAATGTTAACTGATTGGTGTCTTTTTTGTACGCAAGTTCGAGCTCTGGGTATTTAGCTGAAGCATTGTGTTGAAGTCCTTCCTGCAGAAGCAGAGAGACTATGGAAGGGGACATCTCCATGCTTTCTTCAACACTCTTCTGGTCCCTTTGCATCTGATCTGATGCTTTCTTTAAAACATTCTCCAAAATCGGCTTCAGCAGATTAATGTGTTGCTTCGTTCCTGCCAGAGTCAGGATTCCATCATGCATCTTCATGAAGGCTTTATCTTTCACTGCTGACCGAATGTCTGTCTCTATTGTAGACCAAACAGAGGGGATCACTGCACACTCAAAAACAGCATATTTGGAGAGTATGTTTCTAAACTCATCTGTGGCGTTTTGCCTCCAGTCGTCTATGTATTTCTTGGTTATACCCTTCTGTTTCAGCAGTGTGGGAAGAGGACTGAGCTGGACTTCAGCTTTGTCCATGTTCACCTGGCAGAACAATGAGTTCATCTTCTTACAGATGGAGAATATTAGCCCCTTCTTATGGAGGAATTCTCTGATAGCAGGATGGATCTTCTCTGTGAAAGGTTTGGGCAGTGTCCATGTTGGTCTGTCTTTGCCATACAAGGCGGTACCCAAAGACATGTAATATGGGTAGACAGTGACTGCTGTCTTGCCAATACTGAGATCTTTCCCCAGAACTTTCTCTGCATCTGAAAAATGATGATAGACATTTATTCCACACTTTAGTGTACAAATAACATACTTTCAACATTTTTTAACAGCATCAATGTCAAATTGATACCTAAACCAACTATGGAAACACGAAGACCACACAACACAATGGTACTCAAATTTGCCTTACATGTATCTAGCATGGTATCCCTTCAGCTACTCTCTAAAATTAAAGGAACACATGATTTACCCTGTTGCTTGCAAAAAGTGACAATGGCAGCCTGTTCTTCTGGAACCGTGGTGATGTTCTTCACTGCTCCACCCCACTTTTCGAAGTAAAGTTCTAGCAGGTCTGTAGAAGTCTGACCAGGCAAATGTTCCACCTTAACACTTCTACTTTTTTCCAGAGCCCGTCCCATTAGACCATACTGCTGGACCTTTTTATTGCTCCTGCTCTCCACAAGGAACTTCTCAGCAACTGCAAAAAGAAAAGTCACTTTAGACTGACAGTCTGATGCTATTTTTCAATGTCATTTCACATCACAAATGGTTGTCTCAATTTCAGAAATGGCAGTTACAAGTTAATCTAGATCTTGCAAGTTGAGGACTTACCACTGGGGTCATTAAAAGTCACCACAGCAACATTTGATTCTCTTATTGTCTCCAGGAAATAATCCTCTTCGGAAGCATCGCTGATGTTCTCCACTAAAAGTGCCAGGACTTCTTTGGAAACATTGTCAGGCAGTTTCTCCAGGACTACAGCACCTGACTGTGGGGAGTCTCCCAAACTGTCCCCGGGAGATGGCTTAGTTGAGCGGTCAGCCTGACTCTCATCAGTGTTAACTGGAGGCAATATAGGTGGTAATAGCTTAATAACACAGACAAAATGTTTTTCTATGTCTCAGGTATCATAATAGAAAAAGAAGAAAATAGAAGAAAATACATACAATACGAATAAACGCTGACTGGCACTCTGCATATACTGTGATCAGTTCTTTCCAGAATTCTCTGTACAGCTGAAAAGTTCAGACAAACTGATGTTATTTGTGTAACACAAGAGAAAAGAAAAACGGCTTGAATGACTGGTTTAATTCTACAAGGAAATGATGCAATACATTCAAACAACTGCAAAATCCATTCCGACAACACACTGTGCTGGGACAATCCCACTGGAACAGTATAGTCATATCTCTTCAACACTTTCTAGATTAAAGAGACTTATATATATACAGATATTCAGGTACTTTAATCACACAATCAGGATTACAGCCTCAGATTGTCTTGAAGTTTGTTTAAGTCTATTGCTTGCAAAATCAGCTGTCAAATATAAGAGCACTAGACTGTGTTTACCTTTTGCAGTTCCCGCTTGTTAGCTAGGTCTCCGTTATCGCAAGATAGTTGGGTGAGGGGCTATAATGTTTCTTTCATTCAAAAAACATCAAGGTTCCATTTACATAACATCATAGGATGGCTGCCTAGCTGCTAATTGTTGCTGACTGTCCAGTGCTCTGTACATTAACCTAAAAAGAGTCTTACAACTGACTGGCATCCAGGAGTGGCGGCACACCTACAAAACTGGTGGGGCAAAATTTACTGGTCCTGAAAAACACAGCCAATGTCCCAATGACAACATGTCCTAATAAGCTTTTTTTCTATACAGTGTCTGTATTTTTGAACCTGAAGTTTCAATGGGTTGCACCAAAGTCCTCACACTATGACAGAGAAGGGTCTACTTGTTGAAAAATAAATGGGGAATTTTGTACTGCTCAACATTCCATCTGTTCATGGGGAAAACCCACTTTCAATAAAGAGGCAGGCATCCTGTCGACAAAACTGCAAGCAATTTTATCAAACACAAAATCTCTTTGTAGCACATCATGTTCTAACCTGGTCTCAACGAGGACGCTGGAGGCAGGGTTCGAGTTCACAGCAGCAGTTTTACTTGAACCAACACAAAACAAACCAAATACCCAAAACCTAAGCTGGCCACTTTTTAGTGGCTTCAAACTAGACTTTTCTGTCCTTTCCCCACTCAAGCTCCTCAGCTCTCCAGTCTTCAGTCTCTCGCTGCTGCTGCTGCTCATCCCTCTCCCTTTTCTCTGTTCCTTGTCTGCTCTTTTTAAAAGCATCATTTAGGGCTCTCATTAAGGGCAGCGTGAGCACCTGAGCCAAGAGGGAACGAGAGTTCATTGCTCCACCTCCCGGTCACCGCCTCGCTCCACAGCTCGGCCGGCAGAGCTCGGGAATTGAATCCTGCCTTCATGCCTTTTGTGACCATCATCAGCGGTATCCCCTCTCTGGTGGCTGACGTCCTTCTCCCGCCATCACTTGCATACCGTGGCAGTGTTCAAGATTCGCGTGCTGTCACCCTCTCACTCACAGTTCTCCTCTCCCAGCCGTCCTTGCCTTGTCTTCGTCCTCACTCTAAGTTTGGGCCCCACCTTCCTGTCAGCTCTCACAACCGTCATCGTACTATTTTTTAGTGGGAAAATGTCCTGCCTCAGCTAAAAAAGGGATTTTGATTGGTTTTGCTTTTCGCATGTGTTTGACTCCCTGTCTGTTTGTGCCTGTAGGTCAGTTTATGCTGAGTCACACCACATAATTTTAGAGGCAAATCAGCATTCATTCAGGACTTGCAATTGGCTCTCCATTACTATGTGTATACTGTTCAAAGACACCATTCCAGACTCGCTAGTGCCTCGCAGACGCCCGAAAGATATTACAGGATAAATATCTGGACCTGTTGGGGAGTTCAAATCCTGAAGTGTGAAAAGTGTTGTGACCCAGTTGTGACTGGCAGCGAGTGCGGCAACAAGCTACAGCCAATGAAAAAGACACGGGTTAAGGTCACTTCTTGCGTCTGTTTGGAGACCACAGAGACTTCCACATAGCCATTTTATTTACTATTCAAAATGACAAGTGCGCCTATATATGTCTTCTGAGATTTATATGGAATATTGATGGTGATAAAATTGTGAAAAAATGGGGGGCCAAAACCTTCTGAAAGCTGTCATAAAACAGTGTCTCAGACATCAGGCAGTGAATTCATAACCATTTCATGTAGTAACTTTCTGTGAGGGAGCTTTTAGAGGTGGACGTCTGGTTCCTATCACCACCACTGTGAACAATTCTGACTCAAGTTTTTCTAGAACCCAGCATTTCATAGCAAACCATCTGAATGAACTTTGTTTACATGTTGACCATTTGAAAGAGAATTCTGCAAAACTTCCACCGAATTAAATGATTAATATGTAAGTCATTCAGAATTCTTTACAGTGGTGGTGATAGGAACCAGACATCCAAAAGCTCCCTCACAGAAAGTTATTACATGAAATGGTTATGAATTATATTTGTGTTGTATGACAAAACCATAATATGTAGCCTGTAGTGTTAAAGGGGAATTCCACCAATTTTCAGAATTTGGTGGCATAATTAAACGGTTAAGATGTAAAGAGAGTCGTACAGAGTGGTTTGGTGTGAAACGCTCCATTCTAGAGAAACTTACAGAGCCAGAATGGTTCACAGTGGTGGTGATAGGAACCAGACGTCCACCTCTAGAAGCTCCCTCACAAAAAGTTATTACATGAAATGGTTATGAATACAGATACATTGTTTTATGATAGTTTTAAGACTAAAACACATTTTTTAAACCTCATTCATGGTGGAGGGATACATGCAGGATGTTGTGAAGGAAAATAGTCCCCAAAGAAAACTTTGACTATTTTCCCATCATGAACATTCAATATGAATCTCAGAAGACTCGTGTAGGTTCACTGGTGGTTCTGGATAGTAAATAAAATGTCTATATTTGTGTTGTAGTCATGGCGACCCCTGGTTCCTATCACCACCACTGAAAAGGAATCTGAACCATTTCACACCAAACCACTCTGAATCTCTCTGATTATATCTCAAACACCGGTGAGATTTCCCTTTAATTATGCCGAAATTGTGGACTTCCCCTTTAAGAATCAACAGAAGGTTATGGGAGGGAGTATGAGCGTTCAAGAATAAAGTACTTTTTTGTAATGATTTTTTCGTTCATGTATTTATTTATGTATTTATTTATTTATTTATTCATAAACAAACAAACCAAAGCGCACAATCACTCACCTGTTTTCTGAAAGGTTGGTTCCACATCACTTCCTGTTGCAGCCTGTAAGATAGCACAACAAACCCTGTTCAAAAGTCCCTGTGCTTTAGCAGTGCTATAAACAGAACTGGACTCCTCCCAGCATTCACAGTATTAAAAGTAACAAGGGCCATCCTGGCTCAACTTGTACTCTTTCAGTAACTCGACGCCTCGAGCAGATCGGCTCGCTCTCCCACAGACACTCTCCACAGCCTGCTGCCTCCCAGATTACCATTACAAATCAACATGTTATACACATCTAGCACTAACTGAACACTCGGGGGCTCATTCTTGATTATTTTTCAATATGGTTGTTCTAAATGCCACAAAGGGCTTCTGGTAATGAGGATAAGAACTCCCTTCACACTGGCAGGCCTCTTATAGTAAAACAGATATGGACAGTTCTGTCCACTTACTGCTGCGCTGGGCTCTTCTGTCTTCTGTTTCTCTTCATCACCGGGTTTGAACACCTTCAGTTTCACCAGCTTGTTTTCAATAGTTATGGAGTGATCTCCTTTAGCGAGAACCTGATCTCGAGCTGGAACGAAAGCAGACAGACAGTGATAAAGGCCAGATAAAATACAAGGTCACTGCAAACAAGAATACAAGAATGCGAAGTGACGATACCATCAGCTACACTTAAAGTCTGAAAAAGTACTTACTGGATTCAAATAAGTACATTTGTTGTACTCTAGCATTCAAAAGTCCCTTGTAATATTAATATATTTCGTTATTTTATATGAACCATTCTACCGATACACGTGTATATATATATATGGATATAAATGGACAATGAGTGTAGAAACAAGGTCATAATGTTATGCCAGATCGGTGTGTGTGTGTGTGTGTGTATATATATATATATATATATATATATATATACATATATACATATATACATACACACACATACACACACACCGATCTGGCATAACATTATGACCTTGTTTCTACACTCATTATCCATTTTATCAGCTCCACTTACTCTATAGGTGCACTAGTTCTACAGTTACAGACTGTAGTCCATCTGTTTCTCTGATACTTTGTTAGCCCCCTTTTACCCTGTTCTTCAGTGTTCAGGACCCCCATGGACCCTCACAGAGCAGGTACTATTTGGGTGGTGGATCATTCTCAGCACTGCAGTAACACTGACGTGGTGGTGGTGTGTTAGTGTGTGTTGCGCTGGTACGAGTGGATCAGACAGCAGTGCTGCTGGAGTTTTTAACCACTGTGTCCACTCACTGTTCACTCTGTTAGACACTCCTACCTTGTCAGTCCACCTTGTAGATGTAAAGTCAGAGACGATAGCTCATCTGCTGCTGCACAGTTTGTGTTGGTCATCCTCTAGTCCTTCATCAGTGGTCACAGGACACTGCCCACAGGACACTGTTGGCTAGATATTTTTGGTTGGTGGACTATTCTCAGTCCAGCAGTGACACTGAGGTGATTAAAAACTCCAGCAGCACTCTTGTGTCTGATCCACTCAGACCAGCACAACACACACTAACTAATTTATGGGGTGCTTTTTATTGTGTCTGCCCCAAAGCCTAACCCCTAAATTACTGACAAAAGTGAGTCCAATGGAAGACAGTAATGTTGATGTGATACAATTCATTCATCCGCAACCAAAGCACGTTTGAACAATTCATTAGCTATATATATATATATATATATATATATATATATATATATATATCGCTAAAAGTATTCGCTCGTCTGCCTTCACACGCATATGAACTTGAATGACATCCCATTCTCAATCCATAGGGTTTAAGATGTTGTCAGCCCACCCTTTGCAGCTATAACAGCGTAAGCTCTTCTGGGAAGGCTTTCCACAAGGTTTAGGAGAGTTTATGGGAATTTTTGACCATTCTTCCAGAAGCACATTTGTGAGGTCAGACACTGATGTTGGACGAGAAGGCCTGGCTCACAGTCTCCGCTCTAATTCATCCCAAAGGTGTTCTGTTGGGTTGAGGCCAGGATTCTGTGCAGGCCAGTCAAGTTCTTCCACACCAAACTCGCTCATCCATGTCTTTATGGACTTTGCTTTGTGCACTGGTGCGCAGTCATGTTGGAACAGGAAGGGGCCGTCCCCGAACTGTTCCCACAAAGTTGGGAGCATGAAATTGTCCAAAATCTCTGCTGAAGCATTAACAGTTCTTTTCACTGATACTAAGGGGCCGAGCCCAACTCCTGAAACACAGCCCCACACCATAATCCCCCTCCACCAAACTTTACACAAGGCACAATGCAGTCTGACAAGTACTATTGTACGGATTGACAGACGGAGAAGCGTGATTCGTCTCTCCAGAGAACACGTCTCCACTGCTCTAGAGTCCAGTGGCGGCGCTTTACACCACTGCATTCGACGCTTTGCATTGCGCTTGGTGATGTAAGGCTTGGATGCAGCTGCTCGGCCATGGAAACCCATTCCATGAAGCTCTCTACGCTGCTCTTGAGCTAATCTGAAGGCCACATGAAGTTTGGAGGTCTGTAGTGATTGACTCCGCAGAAAATTGACGACCTCTGTGCACTATGTACCTCAGCATCCGCTGACCCCACTCTGTCATTTATGAATACTTTTGGCAATATATATATATATATATATATATATATATATGTGTGTGTGTGTGTGTGTGAGTGTGTGTGTGTTCCTCCATTGTGGAACTGGAATAAAGGATTATTTTATTTTATCTTGTCTTATGACCAAAAAAATCTTGTTTGCAAACCTTTTTTTTCATGGACACTTGACACAGAAAAATTCATGACCTGAGGGCTCCCAAAGATGTTTAATATTTCTTCAATTCCTTCAAGAAACAAATCCCATCAAAAATGGGAAACGTTTGATATAGTGACTAGATTTAAGATAATTTCACTTGACAAGATACCATTTTTTTTAAATTAATTTTAGCAGTCCAGTGTGTTTTATCCCTTTATTTGGTCCATAGGTCAATATAGTACAATAAAGGCCTTTCTATATGATATATCATGGTTCTTTTAAGGGTGAGGACAACTTTGAACAAGTCTGAAAGTAAGTTATATTTCATGTCCTGTTCTGTCATAAGAGGGTGAGCTATTATGGAACAAGTGGGTCAACGTGTTTGAAGCCTTAATTCTGTGCTCTCTACACAGCTCATATAGCACAGCAAGGCCTCTTTATGCAATATCATGGTACTTTTCACTCTGTTATAATACTTCATAAAGTGCTATTTTTCCATGTTAAAGTGAATTTTAGTCACTACAGTCTGTTACTAACTCTGACATCAAGGTACCATCTGCTATGTTTGGCTGTATTATAAAATTTCACTATTTGTTGCACATCCTACAGTTCCCTAAGTTTAGACATATGATTTTATTGTTATTTATACAATGAATATGACACAATGAGTATGACCACTGAATTTATTATTATTCAGTGGTGGACAGTAACTAGGTAATGGTGATTTGTTACTGTAAGTAACTACTGTTAAGTATTTTTCATTTATCTGTACTTTACTGAAGTTTTTCCATTTTGGGGGACTTTTTACTTTCACTCCACTACATTTCAAAGTCAAATATCTCACTTTTTACTCCACTACATTATGCGAAATCTGTCGTTCCTTTTGGTTTATGTGTGCATAAAAACATAACATGTCAAAACGAAAGAAGCGCAAAGCAAGAACACCAATCAGGGCACCGAGTGCACTTTGTTCTGAGCTTGTTTTGACCTGTTGGTCATACCGACCCAGTGCAGCACACGGTTCAACATCAGTGCAGCAGCGTAAAATTTTGAGAGTCTATTCAACATAAATGATGAACTAAACTAACTTTGTGTAAATAGACCACAATATAGAAATATGTACTCATATGCAGTTGTGACTGACGTGTCTTTATTCTGAATTTATACAAACACATTTCATTTTATAGTAAATTAGTTTTGGCTAGTTTATGTTTATGAACAGAGACCTACAGATGCAGTTTAGTAAAGGAAACTCATTTGTGAATCTGAGTTTAAAGTTTTTAAACCGTAACTAAGTTGTAAATAAATCTTAAACTGAAACTTTGCTTGTTTGTAAAAAGTGATTTCAGAGCCACTCAGTTCTACCTGATGGAAACTGTTTGCCTTCAGTGTTTTGTGCTTATGATAATTTTAATAGACATCAGCGTCACTAATTAATGACCTTCTATTAAAAGACTGGTTTACCAAGAGAGACACTGGAGTATTTTCACCTAAAATGAGTTAATGAAGCGAGTCTTGTTACAAAAATGATAATAGGACATCAGAGCCATAATTAATCTTTTAGCACTTTTACTTTTGATACTTAAGTACATTTGAAGGCAAATACTTTTGTACTTTTACTCAAGTGGAGGTCTAAAGGGAGGAACTTCTACTTTTACTGGAGTAATATTTTACCTTGGGTGTCTCTACTTTAACTCAAGTACATGATTTGTGTACTTCGTCCACCACTGATTATTATTATTATTATTATTATTATTATTATTATTATTGTTTAAATAGCGCAGTGAGAAAAGCTTTCATCAGATCAAAGAGTGAAACAGGCTTATGATATTTTTAGTGCAAGTGTTCTAAGAAGGAAAGTGCTGTTTCACAATGATTATATATTCATAATGAAACTGACTCATCAGTGCCGCCTACCGGCAAAACAGCGTCTCTGCAGCAGCACTTAAGGTGGAACGGAAAATTCAAAGAAGAAGCCAACTTCAGTTCAGCTTTAGGGAAACACTGGCGTTGCAATCAGCTGAGCGTCTGTATGAAATACATGCTACCATTCATTTTTAATCGACTACTCACTCTGAGCTGATCTGAAGAGAACAGTAGCGGCGCTGCTGTCCTCGGGGAACTTCACCACACAGTCTCCACCCTGAGACTTCTTCCTGCTCTGAAAGTAAATCTGGAGTTTGGCAGTGAGGGTCCTGGTGGAGGCTGAGGGCCAGGGACCCTCCATAGCCTCCACAGCAAGGGGGTGAAGATATTCCTCCATTTCTCCTCTCTCAGTCCTGCGGGAAACACAGTGGAGGAGCCGCTCAGCCCTGATCAGCCTGTACAGCAGACCGAAGGGAACTGCGGCAGCTATTACGGATTCTAAGTTTGGAACGGATTGCAAGTTTGGAACGGATTCAAAGTTCAGCCTCGTCGCTGAGCTCCAGGTCCGTTTCACTTTGGTTTCATTTTAGCAGGAATGAGCCTGGAGCTGAACCATACACTTTACTTAAGGGGGAACCCCAATCATTTTTCAAAAATTCTACAGGAACCACAACACAACAGAAGATGTGAAGGATGTGAATTGCACAACGCGGAACGCCACAACTAGCCATGAAACACTGACCAGTTTTTGACCCAGGTCCTGCTGGCAGCCCGTGTGAGTTCTGACGCTTTGCCCAAGTACACTGGCCCAAGCTTGCACATGACCGACCTTCAACGCTGAAATGTGGTTGAAATGATGCCAGTTGTTGTTTCAACGTTGAAAAAACTGTTGAAACAACTGTTAATATTTAATGGTTGTGAAATGGTTAACTAATGAATCAACGTTGAAATTTCAAATTTAAATCAACATAATGTCTTAATCGTCCTGCTTTATGAATATGATTATTATTATTATTGTTTTATTGGCATTTTTATATTTTAATCATAAGACAACTTCATAAATCTAAATGTATATGTTAAAAATGGCAAACAACAGCAACAATAATAGTAACAGGCAAATTAAGTTTGCGAAAAACCCTTGCTTGCCGCCCACTGTAACAGCATGAAAACTATGTTAACTGACAATCAGTGCCCGTACTGAGGCGGGCTGACTACACCCGTTTTGAGGCTGCCCCAGTGCACCTGCTCTGCGGTGACGCTCGCGATTCACCAACGTTCAACTGAGCGGGAAAAGCGTTTAGAGCGGCTTCTGGAAACTTTGGAGGCTTCGAAACGCGTTTGGTGAGTAATACTTGGTTTATTTGACATACCAACAGTTTTAATCGGACATTAACTGAGATTTAATCCTAAAATCTGATGATGTTGAACTCTTTATACAATAAATCGAAAATTAACATCACTTGCTAAGTTAGCTTTTTAGCCGGTGGTCTGCTATGGTGGGCTGGCTGGGTTACTCAGCTTGACTCAGATTGTTTTCTCTCACAGTGTAAGAAATTATTAAGTCAGTTAAAAGGTAAATTTTTAATTACTGTTTTAAAATTGGAACGACGAGGTCAAATTCATGCTCTAAATCTAGCTAATAAACTGTGAGTTGCTGTCGAAGTTAGCTCAAGGTTAGCTAACGTTAGCAGGCTGGCTAACAGCTCTGCTGGAAGTCCGGTTCGATTCCAGCTAACTTGTGCTAAACTGTGCTGAACTTGCTCAAATTTGAGCAAGGGAAGTCGCGTGGATGGTGCTGGAGTGTTCAATAAGCAGAAACTAATCAGGTTTTGTGGTATGTGGGGCTGTTAGTTTGCTAGCTAGCAGGTAACGACTTCACAGCCTGGACCAGGTCTGATGCTTCACTCAGACGAGATGAAGCAGAAATCTTTAGAGGGAGAGACGTGGCCCCAGTCCCATTTCTTCTTTTTACACCTACCCCTTGTTTTCGAGTGTCACCCTAACCCCCTGGAACTGAGTTAACCTACATGGGGTAGGCATTAATATCTTGCCCTACAAAATGGGCAAATTAAAACACAAAAAGGGCATCACTTCATTAACAGCTACTGGCGCTGCTCTGTAGGCGACCCTGCCAGTCTGCAGTGACAGCAGAGGAGGGTAAAGTTCAGCTCCTCACTGCTGGGCTTTAGTTACTTTTAGGGCATCATATGCCTTCAAAGAGGGGGGCAATTATTTATTATCACCCACCCCTAATTCTTCAGTGATATGAAGCTGAAGTCAGATATTCACCAGATTCTTGTTCAAATTTTCCCGTTCCACCTTAAACGGTGCAGCAGTTACATTCTGGTGCTTCAGGCGTCAGAACTGCTGGACTATTTAAGGTGGAACGGGAAAGTTAGCCAGCTAGCTACCGAGACATTAGCATGCTATTAGCGATTTGTTGTGCGTGTTATGAAGAAAACGACCATAATACACTGAAACGACATTAAACTAAGAAAATACAGTGATTATCATAATTTTTAACAGAGAAATTTTCACATTTGTGGGTTTCTTTGGTCGCTCGTGCAGCCATCTTGCAGGTTTTTCTTTTTTTCTCATAACTCTCCGTTTGGAGCTTCTGAAAGACCTCCGTTTGGAGGGTCATGTAGCCCTAACACTTTGCCCTACCCCTCTGTCTCAACAAAAATTGGGACACCCTAACCCTAGACATGAACATGCAAAATAGAGGGCTAAGTGCTAAGTGGTAGGGGCAAGGGGTGAAATGGGATTGGGCAGTGGAGTGACTGGTGCTGGAATTAAAACTTAAATGGGAACACTGATTTTCAAAAATTCTGCATAATTAAATGGTTGCGATGTTGACAGTCATTCACAGGGGTTTGGCGTGAAATGCCCTGCTGTAGTGAAACCTACGATTGAGGAAATGTTCAAAGTGGAACCAGACGTCTGAAGAATTCAGTGCCTCTGATACACTGTGTGATGCCTGAAACTTTGTTTTATGGTAGTTTTGTGATAAAATTTTAACTTCATGTTTTGAGGGGTACATGCAGGACAAAATAGTCTCCAAAGAAAACTCTTTATTTTTTTTTTCCAGACTATTTTTCCACCATCACTATTACACAAAAACACATGTAGGTTCACTGGTGGTTTTGGACAGTAAATAAAATGTCTATATTTATGTTGTAGTCATGGTGACCCCTGGTTCCAATCACCACCACTGTAAAGAAACAGTACACTTATTTACAATGAACCATTTTATGTCGAACCATTCTGAATGACTCTGCAGCCACATGTTTACATCGAATACCTGTTTACATTGGACTGAATTATTCAAGAATTTTGAATTGGTAGAACTTTATCCTAACTGTATAAAAGTTATCCTAACTGAACTGAGCCGTAACTTGGTTACTTTCTGTCCGATAGTTTTACTTGCTTGAATTTGAATATCTAAAACAATTAACATTAGGTCAGTGTTCAGCTTTTGGAAGTTCAGTATCTGTTGTTAAACTGAAGTTTGAGCATCCACTTTATGAGAATATTAATTTGTGTATGGTAAGTGGAATAAAACCATTTAATGCTAGTACAAGAAATCACTGCGTCACTGACCGGAGGTTAGCCAGATGTTTCTGAAATCTCCTTGTTCCCTTGTTGGTCACCTGCATGTCCTTCATATATCAATACAATTTTTCAGGCATGGAAGCAACCTTTATTTTCCTTTCTTTTTCTACTGGGTTACTGGTTTGATTTCACTAATTTTTCTGTCTGTGTAATCACCCACAACAAGTATGTCTGTCTGTGTGTGACTATTTTATATCTTAACCGTACGTCAACACAAGTACGTCTTTCCCTTTCTCATGATTGGCTGTCATAATGATTGGGAAAGAACAGTTTTGTGACATTTAAAAAATTTCTTAAGTCCTGTTGCCGTGTCTTTTTTTCCTCTTTCACTTCTACGCTCCCTATTAACCTGCCATTTTTTAAGCTATGGAAGCTCCTCTCACCAGGAGTGAGCAAAGTACAAAACGTCTGAACCTGAGTAAAAGTAGAAATTCTTAGTTCAAGTCACTTAGTTAGTACAAGTATTCTATTTGTTTCTTACTTGAGTTAAAGTACAAAAGTACTTGTTTTTAAGTTGTGAATTGGAAATCATAGTGCACTATATATTAATTTAACTTTTGCGAAAGTAACTACACTTTTATAGTAGATTATGGTAAAATAAGAATTTTGTTATGTGATGAATTAATATGACCATGGTTAATAAAGTAAAATGAACTAACAAAGGGTAAAGTTCCATTTTGATTTTAATTCAGTAAAAGTACTGAATTATTGCACTTCTGTTTTAATGAATACGTTCTGTTAAGAAAGCCTGTGTGGCTGCAGGCATTAGAGTTAATTGTTCATGTATGTAGCCACACAGATCTCTTTATTGGAGAGTACTTCTCAGAATTTCTTTAATAACTTACAGTTCCTTTACTTGTGATACTAAGTAATTTAAAAGCAAGCACAAATAGTGATCTACTTTTGGTCAAGTAATATTTTACCAAGAGCATTTCTACTTTTACTCAAGTACAGAAATTATGTACTTTGTCCGCCCTGCTGCTGGCTTACAAGCAGAGGCTAGGAAACAAACCCTGTCTGCATAAACAGGTATTTCTCAGGTTTAGAAACAATGTGACTGAATTTGGGAGGCTTGTCTGCTTTTTTCAAATGGAGTTAGTCAACATAAACATGGCTGTGTCTGTTTGTTATTAAATTTAGTGTTTTAAAGTTTGATTAAATGTCTCCTCTTCCTACAGTTATCCATCTGCTGCTTCTAGTTCTCGACTGTTAAAGACTTACAGCTTGTCCCAGATACTTTTATTTATAGTAATGTCATAGTGTAGCTCTTTGTAATGTTAGTATATGTTTATTTACGTATTGCTGTTGTATAAATGCAATAGGACTTTGAATGTTAAGTGTCATTGTGAAAACCAGCACATTGTTATTTACAGAAACACTCTCCTTCTTCTATGCTATTGCATCCACAGCCCCTTTTTTCTGGTGATGGTTTTACTCATCTTGCTTACTTTTTTCTTTATTTTAGATGCAGCCACGAAGAATCCACAGTAACAATCGCGCTGCAGGTGACAAAGAAATTTACCAGAGACCTCCACGTCTGTTAAGAGCCGAGTACATTTAACATAATTGGGTAGGGGTCAGATGTTCATTCTCTGTCTGCCTCTCTCTCTTCCACACATGCTCTATTTATACGTTCACTGACCACTTTATGTACACCTTACTTAAGCCTGTTTGCAAATTACATCACGTCACTGCGTTGCTGTGGTACATACTGGAGGGCAGGAAGTGATTTTCATAGAAGGCACTGTCACAGGTTCTCGAAATGCGTATAGTTTACGTTGTTCATGGTTGCTAAATTAGTTCTAACTGAGAAACTACAAAGAGCTTTTATCAGGTACCAAAGCTGGTTGATCACTGGCGGGAAAAATGTGAGAAATTGACCAAAAACGGCAGCAAAAAATATATTTTACACAGTTCATCTGTGGGTGTGCACAGGTGATAGATTTAAAAGGCACAAGCAACACCACTTGCACTTAAATCAGGGTTAACAGTTAAACCAAAGAC